TCGCATGCGCGTATTGCTCGTGTTGGTCCCTTACTGAAATAGCTTATTGGCGTCCTGGTAGAGCAATAAATCTAAGCAGCGTTGGACAGCTTTGGCACACTGTCTAGAGCTTAACGTACAGACAATTATGGGCATAAACTTAAAAGTATCTTTTGGTACGTCATGTATGATTCTATCATACATGATTTTTAGAATGTAAAGATCAAATAAGTTTGGTTTCGAAAATGGTTTGAGGCATAAGGTTCTATTTGACCGTTATTTACGATTTTTCGTCATTGTAGCGGCTGATTTTTGTCTCATTCACCTGTTGTAAGTTTCGGTACATGGTGAGGTGCGTGACCTGTGGGGCTGTAGTTCGGATTAACTTGAAGTGCAATGATACTAGCTATAGGATCAGGGTAGAGGCTACTTTACTTGAGCCACGACGATTTAGCGTTCTTCTATTCTTCAATTACCCTTTCCTTTCTCGAGATATTGATGGGCCGTAGAGGTTCGCTGCGCCACCAACCTGTACCGAGAAACATCATCCATCTTCAGCGATGTTAGGTTGGCTCTTCTTGATTCGATCCGGTTTCATCGCTATCGAAATGACGGAACATTTCCGTACACTCATTGTGCATTATTCATTGTGAACAAACCGGAACTTTTAAGCAGATATTGATATAAGCAGCCCTATTTGTATTTGCTAAGTAAGTAGCATCACGGAACCGCCATTGTAAATTTGTGCTTGCTTATCTATTTCGAATGAGTATATCGAGAAGCTATAAAAGGCAACGTATTCGAAATTTTCCTGGGCACTCATGTTACAGACGGTTTGTTTTAGTGGCCCAGACTCTCTTAAATCTCGCTCCATCAACGGTTCATTGGTGACAGACAGTAGCTAAATTTATCAGCTAAATATCTAGTTTGCTCGATGCGTCCTGAACAATTGAATCATCAGCCAAATCGGTGTCGGACTCCGTTACTGCTGACCGTCGGCGAGCTTTACTCGTCGTTCGATGCTTGTTGTTGTTCCTTTCGTTGAAGAGTTCTCATTCCGTTCATCCACATCTCTTCTGCGTCTTCGTTCTATGTTGAAATCGGCGCGACCGCGAAAAACCCACCACTTGAGCCCAGTTTACTTCACCAGTATCCGTCCAGGGCACTTGGACGGACGGGCAGACGTTGCGCACAAACTAACTGGGTTCGTCATCCCATCTTCGTAACCGCTAAAACCGCCACTGGCTTCGGAGGCGAGGCCGCGAGGCATCGCCGATGCTATCAGCAACACAATGCTTGCTGAACTCCTGAATAGGTATCGCTCAGCTGTTCACAGGCAACAGAACCAGCGGCTGTGGCGGCGGAGCTAACGTTGTGCGCGACCCTCGCGCTGCCACCGTCTTGTCCGTGGCCGTCGTCATCGTCGTGCGTTTGCTTGAAGTGATGATTGTCTCTGTGCGTGCGAAAATACTCAACGACAATGAGTTTTCCGCAATAGAAGTAAGGATCCAATAAAGCAGAACCGTTCGTCTCGATACGCTACTGCCAGAGATGAAGGCGTGAAGTAAAAAGTGAGTTTTCAGTAGCGGCCGAACAGCGTGACGGCGGCGACCCTCACGTTATTTCTGTCGGCAAAAAGCTTTGCTCACGTGGTGCGACGAGTACCTTTTCGAGCTTAAGGGTCCTCTACTTTTTCACCTGCTTCGCCGGGATTGCAATCGAAAGGCTCTCTTGTTATCGATGTGCTGCTAACTCCATCCATCCATTTGTGTATGTGTGTGTATATTTGTCGGTGTGCTTATATATATATATATATATATATATATATATACATATATATATAGTTTCATTCGAGCGTCGCGACAAATCGCATATACTTTTACCCTGCCATGTGTCAGCGGACCCGCAGATGTCGGGCAGCATTTTCGCTTTCATCTGAAAGCGAGTCCACAACTACTGCTGCTACTGCTGCCACCATCGTCACCGCCGCCACTAGTACGTCTGTGACGACAGCTGATACTTGGGAATCATTTGCATTCATCCCCCTTCCCTCGACTACTAAAACACACACTCGCATAGACATAGTACATGGCCAAACAAACCGAAAGACACAAAAAAAAATGAGCACAGAAAATATTCGTGCAAGCACAGATTTTTTTCCTGACGGTGAGTGGTTCACCGTCAAACGGACGAAAGGAGACGTGTCACGTATGCAAGAGTTCAACACGGTGCGCATATAACGTTGCGACCTATTCCCCCGATCTGACCTCTGCCCGTTTTGGGTAGTTTACGGTTATAGTTCTGATGAGATTGTTTTAGGAAGGGATACGTTGGCTGTTATTATTGCTTGTGTGATATTTGCGCGGGCGGTGGGTGACGGTAATGCATGTTGGGCTATGCTTGACGATATGTACCGGTTTTGCTACGGTGTTAAAAACCAGCAGCAGCTGGAAGAATTATTGTCCCTTAGACTCGGTCACATTTGTTGTATGTACGTGCGCAGTTCCGAGGCAGTCAAACACAGATACTACTTGCATTTATGTTGTGTGTTAATGCATATAAGAAACAATGGTAACGTTGGTATTTGGCAAGTGTCAATCATTCTGTTCCATTTCTTCGCTGGGTGCCAACTATCGGTGATCTTATCATTCGGGCAGTTCCGGAAACATCTCATGCTAAATAGTAGAGAGCAGCTGCGCGTACACAAAATATAAACCGGACAGCGGAGTGACGTAAATTCCGACTTTCACCAGCCAGAGAAGTTTTTACAGTGGCTGAATATGTTAGCGTCGCACTTCAGGACAATTGCAAAAAGGAGGAAATTTCGAGTCTTTATTTTACAGCTTAACATTATATTCATGATTGCCTATTTAGTCTGGGTATTTTTTGGTTTTGTACGGTAGCCTGGCCGTCTATGAGCCCTGCCAATCAGAAACGCCGTACAATGTTCCGTGGTGAAATTTTATAGTGCGAATACACCTTTTGTCATCGAGTGGTGTTCGAAGTTCATCCGGTACCGTTATGCCAGCCAGTCAACCCTCTACTTAGTACACAGTATCCAACAGTTATCGGCTTGTTAACAACTCTCGTATCTGTCAGATAAACCAACGATAGCCCGTAGCAGTCTCATAGATATTCTATTTTGCTTTACTGTCACCGTGAATATCGATCTTCGAACGCAGCGGGCGACCGCCCAGGCGGTACTGTGTTAAATTTGTGTCTGTGATTTTTATTCCCTTATGTTTTTCTCGTTCGCTTCTTACTCGTCAGGCATAGTTCGCACAGAGGTTCGAAATGAGCGGTATTGTGTTGAAGTTGTCGAGTTCATAGTCGTCATCGCTTGCACCATCACCGCATGTCGTTATCCCATCGTTGTCAGTACGAGGAATAGAAGGCAATGGAGCCTCTGCCTAGAGCTAGCGCTATAGACCCACTTAGCAGCATTAGCAGCACAAAGTGCAACATGAATAACCGCGTGTAAGCACCGTCTGAAACAGCATCACTACTGCGAACAGATAAAGTGATATAACAGCCAAACGCCATGCGTCGAAGCTCAAGTGTAATTCTCGGCCTCATCCAGCGTTGTGTTGGCTCCATCCAGAAGCAGCTGATTCGGAATCTGCTAACGGCAACCTTCTGAAGCTTGTGTCGTTCTGTCGCTTTAGCATTTCTGGACTACCGTTGCCGCTCTGCACTGAAGGGGATCCGCTAACGGCGGCGGTGGCGGCCCGATCTATGGCGCCGGGGTATTTCTTCAACATCGCAAAGTCGTGTTCTTACGGCCAAAGCCACTGTTGCTGCTAACGGCTGCTGAGGCTAAAGCTTCGGCGGCGGCGGCGGCGGCGGCGGCGGTGGCGAGCTTGGTGGTGGTTACGACGGTGGCATAGTGACCCCCTTTTCGGGAAAGAAGAGGGCTATGCTCTGCCCAGCTCCATCGAGTTGTTGCGCCAGCCTCGGCAGCTGCTGTCTTACAGGCCTTTCTCGCTGGCGATGCGCGTGTGAACACCAACGGCTGATCGATGTCTATATGTCTGCTCATATATGTGTGTGAAGTCTACACAGCAACCAGCCATCTTTTCTTTTTCACCCGCGCAGAGCTTCTCTGTTCGTCCATGCTGCTGCTGCCGCCGCCGCCGCCGCCGTCGCCGCCGCCGCCGCCGCCGTATAGTAGCAATAACAGCAACTTTGCCGTAGTAATAGTTGTAGTATTGGCGTCGGTGGCGACGGTGGTGCCCACCGTGGTCGGTCGAGCGAGCGCTGCTTACCACTGCTCTCCGCCGGATCGGAGCCCCGACAATATCCCTTCCCTCGTCCAGGCCGGGACGCGGCTATTAGCACGCTAGCGTTCGACCGCTTCGTGTCTCGTCCTCTTGCCATATCTACTCATCCAGCTGCTATCGCTATTACCCCTTAGCAACTATCATTATTACTGTTTCTATTAATTCCGCTTTATTAGTTCCACCAATGCGAGTGCATTTTTTTGTATTCATGCTAATAGAATACAACCCGCCACAAGTTTCCAGCCCGCTGCTCAACTTGTTACCCTTGCCTAGACCATCTTAAAAGCTTGTGTGCTTTTGTTGAATACGCGCAGAAGCTATCGCTCTACTCCTCGGAAGCTGTTGTCTCCCGTTGCTGTCATTCCTGAGTTCGTTGATTGGTCGTTCGTGTTGCGTCGATATTATTATACGACATACCGTTTTTGCTACGTGTTGAGACCACTGCTGGACGTGACAGTGACGACGTGTGTTGGGCAGCTTTTGCTAGCCGAGAAGTTACGAGCGGTACGTGGATCTTTGCATCGCTATATCAACTATGGTGTCCTACCAATCAACGGATTTTTAACGGATTACATTCTACAGTAGTTGCTGTTGCGACGCAAGAAACATTACCCGAGTGACGTTTGACACCATTTCTCTTGTCACGAAGGATCAATCACTTCTGTTCAGCCACTGCTACTGCTTCACATCTACTACATCGTGTACGTATAATCATTATTTTAGCGGTGCTATCTTCTACTGTAATAGTACTTAATCCATTCTCGATTTCCTGTTTCCTATGCTAACGTGCACTTTTTCGTGTACTCGTCCTTGATGCAAGTCCGCTGAATGGCAGCAATGTTAGGTTTTATTGCTGCTAGGATCATTACTAGAGACTAACGGTAATTCGTTTCCGATGCTGCGGCAATCTGATTCCAAGTCTGCTGTTCCCGTTGATGATAATGTCATAACTTTCACCCCTCGAAACGGATGGCGGGCCGCGTTGTTTGCAATCTTCAGTCGTCGAAATTCCAGCCAAATTGATGATTTGGTTTCGCATTGGCCGAGCGCCACTAGTCCCGGGTTTAGCCTGTCCCCAATGCTGGCACAGCAGGTACTTGGCTGTCTCCTCTGGGTCAGTAACCGACTAAAGTCACTTTTACTGAAGAAAGAAAAAGCTGACGAAACTGGGAAGCTTCCACTTCGAAAGGAAAGAAACAGCTGGAGGGTCGGCGCTGGCTCCACAGTCGCGGTTAACATCATATTAGCTATGTGCCGGCTGACTCAGAACAACTCAGGCGTCGTCCCAGAATTTTTCTTTGACAAATAACGGAAGCAGGATGGGTCCTGCGGAAAGTCTTACCCAGGATTTACGAAGTGAAGGGCCACCGGTGTTTTCGCCTAATAACACCTTGAAGGACGGTAAGCGTTACCCGTGGGCTTACGGTAACAAGTGAAGTGTGAAACCAGGTGACCTTTTGTACGGATTGTACTAAGCAAAAACGCTATTCCATAGGTCGTTCCTTGTAAATCAAGTTTATCAGCGTACTGGCAGCTCAACATCAGCTAGCATCAGCTTAAAATTATTAATAGCGGTATCAAAATTACGATGGGATTTGTTTATTCAGTCGTTCAGCTTTGGAAAAATACATTGGAAGCTACAACTACTTCACGTTGCCCATATATAGATAAAAAATAATCCCTATTTTTCCACACAACGATTTGATAATGATCTGGCGAGTGAGGATACAAGTACTCAGTCAATATAATCATGGTAATTTTTGGGAAAATTAGTAGAGGAGTTAAGGTAATTATCCGTTTCCAATTGAAAAGGCTCTTTAAATGCTCTAAAACTACACTACAAAGAAGAATCGTCAGATTTCTGTGAGATCAACTGTAGATCGAATCTACAGTTGTACAAAGAAATAACAATGACAGCTACCTTTATGGCTGCCTATCGATCGGGTTTAGTTCTTTCTGGCAACGAAACACACGATGCTGATTAAAAACGGTGTCAGATGTACCATAAATGTTCTGAATTTTACGCCGGCTATCGCGGGTAAGCATCGTTTCAAAGATGAGATATGTCTTCATGCAGCCTGGCGTGTTTACGTCCAATCTCAAACTTAGGTCACGTCATATGTTCTTAAGTTTAGTAGGTAAGCACGTTGCCATTGTGCCTTTACGCGGACGTTTTGTTGCTACTCTAACAACAGTTATCTGCTTTTTGCTAGGATAAACGATAACAACTCGATTGTGACAAAGTGCATTAATTCGATAAAATTGATGCGCTATTCTAGTAAAGCAATCTACTATTGTCATCTTCACCGTTAAAACCAGATTACTACTCCGATAGAAGTTTTTTAGCTTTTCACCATTCTATTGCCATATATTAACACTCTTATTAGACGGTACGTTGAATAGAGTTGTTTTCTATTAGCGTTCACTGCACAGTGTCCCATAGCGTGCGCGACCCAGTTGAACATCATCGACCTCTGTTTTTTGCTTACTGCACCTTTTGCGCTGTTTCACAAGCCACGCTATTTCGTCTGCTTCTTTTTTCTTCGTCGTTATTCGGCCGAAGTGACCGTGACGATTCTCTTTGAAGTGTGCATCTATACTAATGTGAGCGTTTGTGTCCTCTCGATAGCCGTCAGCGACACCAACAAGAGCTTAATGCACCATGAGGCTCTGTGCCGCGATCCACTACTGTAACTCCATTCACTTTTTTGCTGTCGTAGGGCCACGACCGCCTTACTTACTCCCGTTCACTAAACAATGCGAAAAAATATAACAGCTCCGGAACAAACGCACACAGACATATACAAATAGACACACGGAAAGGTAGGCGCGTCTCTGTGCAACATAAAAAACAGAATGGTGTCGTTCCAGCTCCTGCTGTCGTCATCGCCACCATTACTGCGAAAGTATAAATAAGAGACGGAGAAAAAACGAAGAAGCAAGATCTTTAGCTAGCTGTTTCAAGCGCTCGTTGTAATTTTCTGGAACAACGCTAGTGATGCCAGCGATAAGGCCATCTGGCGGTACCGCTGCGTCATGCGACGCTAGGCGGGAGCTGTCTGAGGCTGTTTTCGCAACGTTCGACGTGCGCCTAGCGGTGTGCTTGCTTTGCGGTAAGATGTTCCGAAAATCGACGAATTGTCAACACGTATTGTTATTGTTTTTGTTAGAGGCTCGTTCGTTCTGTCCTGGTGCGTTTCGGACTTCGCGCGGTATATTCAAATACACGGATAGTGCTAGATCGGGACAGACGAGCACACAGACCGATAGACAGACGTATTAGACGGAGCAAAGAAGAGACAGAGATGGGCGAGCGGGCCAACGGGAGCCGGGAACCGCTGTTCGGTTAACCCTCTAGGTTATTGACTCCATTCCAGATAATGGGGCCGCCTGCAATTCCTGTCTGCTGGAGATAGCAGCATCAGCAGCGGCGGCGGCGGCGACTTTTTTCTGCCTTTCTTTCATTTGTCTCTCTCGTCTTCATTTTCTCCCAGTTTTCTCAGAAACCTCTCGCAATCGACGTACCATTGGAACAGCGCAATAAGATAGCTGGATGTATATGCGTAAAAATTCGCGCGAGCACAGACGGTACAAGGAATAATGCATATACAAGCACACCTATACACTTAAGGTAGGTAGACACAGAAACGGATTCAGACGGAAGGATCACACAGTTGAACGAAAAAGATGAGGATGAAGTGCAAGAGCTATTGTGGTCGCTGACACTTTCGGTGATAGAAACAACGTCGATCGCTTACCTCTAACTAGTCGTCTCATCCTGTGTTCTGTCTTTGTGGTTCTCTTTGTCTATCTTTCAGGCTTCGTCGTCCAGTTCATCGATTGTTGCGCCATGTGTGCTCGCTACTAGATTTGTCCTGAGTTTGGCCGTCGAGGGCCTATTCGATCCTCACCGGTGCTGCTGCTGTGGCTGCCGCTGGCCGTCGGTGCCGCTAATATGCGTGCAACAGCGGCTCATCTTACCCCTGTCATAATCGTTGCTATTGGCCTGACCGCCATAGTCGACGGTCTTGACCATGTCAAGTTCGGTGCTAGCCGCGTAATCCAGCCGAACCCTTGCGGTCATGAGCGAACTGGTGAAGAAGGCGTATGTATGTTCGCTTGGGACTGCTTAAATTTGAACGGTACGCACATCACGTTCTGCCGAGATCGTTTCTATTATGGAAGCTGCTGCAAACTACCGGACGGCATTCAGCCACCAAACCGAATGCCACCGATGGCGCATAACCCGCCTTCGAATCATCTGGACGCTCCTATTCGCCGGCCAGCTCCATTACATCAGCAAACGACTCTGGACCCAGTCGAAGCTCAAGTTGTTAAACATACGATGACAGCACGACCTCCCGTTGTTGAGGTCCAGTTTCCACGCGATCCAACACCTCGACCAACGATCCCTCCTGCTGTGCCAACGCTGTTTCCGATTGTGCCGCCAACAACGCAGCGAAGGCCAATCGTTGTCAACAATCATCACAAAAAACCAGATTACCCTCTAAAGGGGACAACGATATCACCGACGGTTCGGCCGCGGCCGACGGAGGCAGTGACTACGATGGCCATTACCGAGGTGCCGACCGGCAAGCCAACATGGATCATCGCTGACGAGGCTGATAAGCATGGACACCCCACCTTGGCAACAGCTGAAGCCATCCTGACCACAGCTGCCTCTCCGGCAACGACAACTCGCCACCCTTCAAATACTATACCTACTTCGGAAACAGTGCCAAGCGTAGTTGCGATGAAAACAACTCTACAGCCGACCGGAAGCGAAATGACGCCGAGGTCAACGAAAGAATTTACTCAGCCAACGACAACATTAACCCCCATTACAACAATGCCGCCAACGGAGTTGACAACTTCCGCCGCTAGTTTTCTAACTGATGTGCCTGCCACGATGACGACAACGACAACGACAACAAAAGCAACAACAACAACGATGGTGTCACACGAGGAGAATTCTATTGATGTCACAACGGAAGCGGAAGAAGGCACGACACGCATCTTTTCAACCCGGTACCCTATCCGATTTCCTCCGAAAGATAAGCCTACGACAACAACCGAACAGCCTGAAATAGCGACTGAACAAGAGCCTGTGACGGATCCGAAAGTTGTCGAAGCAGAAGCAATCAGCACGAGAGAGTCTACCGATTCTGCGCCCCCTACAACAACCGTCATTGGCCTTGCCAGCAGTACAGACCATTTTCCTGCATCAACAGTGACGTTCACATTTGAAGCTAGCGCTGACCAGATCATAACATCAGCGGTCGCTTCTACTAAGGGAGATGTACCAGCATATCACACGACGACAACCGCGCCGACTAATGAAGAGACCACAATCTTAGCTGGATCAACAACTACGGCAGCCAATACAGAAACAACAATCACATCTGTTCCAGAGACAATTTCCCCCGTAGAGCTAACGGTAGCATCAACCGAAACGCCCGCCTCATCGAGGATTCCAACCACTGAAGCCAGTACCTCACCTTGTCCAGAGCCTATGGACGTTAAAGAGACGACAACAACGTCAAGTCCCGTGCCACTAGCTGATACTACTACGTTGATGTCTGAGACGACCACTGAATACGATCCGATTAGAGCGATCTGTGGACGGCCCAAGTCGTTCGCGTCGGGTCGCATCGTTGGCGGTGATCTGACACGGTTCGGTAAATGGCCCTGGATGATCTCCCTACGGCAATTCAAGAAAAACACGTTTGTGCATAAGTGTGGTGCCGCTCTTCTAAATGAATATTGGGCGGTATCAGCAGCCCATTGCGTACACAACGTCTCGCCGAACGATATCTTGTTACGGCTAGGCGAATATGATCTGAGTGGGCATGATAAGGAACCTCTAGGTCATATCGAACGACGAGTTCAAATTGTTGCTACGCATCCGAAGTTTGACGCGCACACTTTTGAATACGATTTAGCGCTTATGCGATTCTATGAACCAGTGTCGTTTGCCGATAATATTGTGCCAATTTGCATTGCCGATGGCAATGAAACGTACGTTGGACAAAGTGCCGTAGTTACTGGCTGGGGACGTCTTTACGAGGATGGACCACTGCCGTCAATCCTGCAAAAGGTTCAAGTGCCGATCATTACTAACAAGGAGTGCGAAAGAATGTACAGGAAGGCCGGTTTTATTGAAGATATTCCAGACATTTTCATCTGTGCCGGTCTTTCCGCTGGAGGCAAAGACTCGTGTGAAGGCGATTCCGGGGGCCCGCTTGTACTTCGCGATGAGGACAGTGGAGCATGGAATCTGATTGGCATTATTTCCTGGGGAATCGGTTGCGCTGTGCCTAATCAGCCCGGCGTCTACACCAGAATCACCAGGTTCGCGGACTGGATGAAGCAGATTATCGTTTTCTGAGCAGACACGTTTTTCCACGGATCGAGTGGTCAATAAATATTTATCCGGTAGTAACCTTCGCAGCAGGCGAGCAAGCAGACTGCTGATAGCCAATCGCGAGTTATCGCTGATCAAGCACTGGTGAGTGATAAAATGTGGGTTGAGGTCAATAAGATGTAGAAGCAGAGTAGTTACTGGTATAAACTTTTTAGCGCACCATCAACAGAGGGATGACACGGTTTGAGACATCGAACCCAAGACGAAGACTGAATCCTTGTTCTGAATAGAAGGACTAGTTGTGTCTGACAATCCTAGCTACCGGGTAGGCGAGCATGTCATCCATCCATGCAAACAACTTTCGTCGTGTTATCGTGTATAAACAATTTAATGTTTACGACTTTAAACTTAAACCGCAACCCGGCGGTGATCATCAATTGATGGTGCAAGGAATATCTGGGGGCCTATTAATTCTTACGTCAAATCTGACGTATTGTTATCCTCTAGACACTGCTGCTATTCATCAATCATGTTACTTCACTATTTATCTTCATCGAACTTCAAACCACTCATCTAAAAAAATTCAGCGTTATTTATTTTTCACATAAACACAACAGACCCACACATACAGAAACGACCTCCATCAAAACCTGTACATCATTTTATATCTGGATTCCCATTTCATCACATTTAAAGACGGACAAACGTATTTAATTACTCTAAGTAATTAAGAAACATCGATGACGACGACGACGACGACACTCTTTTGATGATTAACGGTCGGGAGGCATCGAGAAGGCCAACAGAGGAGCCAAACGAGATTTATGTCTTTTCTGAAACTGATGCTTCTTAGCAAGATCAACACGACTTCGACGCTTTGCTTTTTATCAACCATATTACTATGACGACGGCGATAATGATGATGATGATGAACCTCTATTTATTGTACAAGAACAATTTATTAACATGTAAATAAAACAGAAACATATACATATGCTGCAAACTTTACTCTGTTGATTATTATGAACCTTAAATATTTCTCTATAAATTATGTCGTTTCTGTTTCTAAGTAGTTTCATTTAAAAGTATTTATATAGCTAGCATCGTTTTCGATGCAGAGTTCCTTAATTTTTTTACAGTTCACAAGCAGTGCGAAGGTAAGGAGGAAGGGGGACATGCGAGGTTTAATCGTCGTTTCCTATATACCAAACTAATATAGTTATATTTTGATTACATACTACTTCAGTTATATTAATACCGTCCCGAGAGCTAAAGCTTTTTATTGAAAAAAATTCAGGCTATCAGCCAGAGCTTCAAATGAAGCTTTCTCTTAATGGATTTGAGTACACTTTCATTTGTGTGACAAATAATAGGGTTTGTTTCGTTGATAGTAAGGCAAGTTGTTGACCAAACGGTGTCTTTTGGGAGTATTGTCGAGAAGGTCATTACGAGAAGGGCGAGAAAGGCTTTAGTTCAAAAGTCTCAACATTTTTCAAGGTGGATTGCCCTACCATAGCTAGGTTTTTCAAAAATTTGATTGACCTGATTTTCTATTATTAATTAAAAGTGCAACGTTTTTGCGATTTGACACGAAAGTGGTTAAATTTTTTTTTATTCACCTTTCAGTAATCACGAATATCGTATATAACGATAGCTTTGTTGAGTTCGTATAATTACAAGTACAGAAAAAAAAAAAAAAAAAAAAAAGATGTCCTAGAGGTGGTGAGAAGGAAATGACAGCTGTTACTAAGGGCGAGCAACAAGTCAATTCGAGTGTGATCGATCTACTCCAACAAATCTCCATAGAGCTCTTTTGTCAATGATTTGCATTATGGTATCATATTGACAAATAGGTATTCAAAGCTATTGCCTCCGCCTTGAAGAAGCACCTGTCCATTTCGCATAGTATTAGATCGAATCAGTGAGGTTAGAGTTTAGGAGATATTCTAAGTGAAGTAACATAACGACAGCAGAGGTAAATTTCTTTAATAAATGGTTCAGCTTACTACGAGATACTTGTCTGCCTTTAAAAATGTTCCGAGCCATTGGCGCATTGGACCACCAAATTCGCAGCTGTGGAATATGGTCCAGCAATACAAAAGTAAATTTTATAAAAAATGCATCTCTCACTTGCAAAAACCCGCATTAGCAGAATCATCGCTTGTTTCTGTAGATGTTCACTTCTTCCTTCGTAATGGCTTAGTGGGTTACTTATCTATTTGCTGATCGTAGATACATGTGGTGCTCGCCGTCTGATGGAACACGTAATGGCGTACCACTCGTAAAGCCCGAATTATTTACCAATAAGTTCATTCATCAATGCCATGATTTGGCAAATAGAAGGTAATGAGTCTACAGCATTATAAAAGGGATTATCCTTATTTCTGTTCTACCGTATTTGGAATTCTATGACGTGTCTGGATGCTAGGAATGGATCACACAACACACATTTTCTTTCTTCTATGTTATAGCAATATCTGTAATATAAAGGTTTTTCTATTTTTTAAGCACGCCATAGCTTTCGACTTATGAAATTATATTGGAATGGACCGTTACTTCTTCCACACCTATTCCGACTACGCTTACTCAAAATGGTCAAGCGTTGAACAAAGTTATTGTCTTCATTTAATTAAACGTAGATTTTCGATCGCATAAGGTTCGGTGGTACATTTAAGTATATAAATCTCTAGGAATAATTTTCAAAACAATTTAATTGACCACTAGTTCACGTGCATAAGAGACACCTCTAGTCATCCTTTTTCTATATACTATATAGTTTTTCTTTTACATTTTGATAATATAAGCTGCTGGCAATGTTCTTAAATCCCATATCAGACACCGCTCTCGAATATCCGTTATTGTAGCTTTCAGAAAAATGTAAAAACGTTACGGAAATCAATTTAACTTTCTCTTCTAATTATACACTGCAAGCTTTAACACAAAGCTTCTATACTCCTGTGAAGTCTATTCGAATTAGTCGCCGATGGGCTATAAGCAAGCGGTCGTACTTACTCCCGCAAGGAAACAATCAATACGTGCAGTCAACATGCACATGACGGCCGCTGTATGTTGTCTCCTCTAGATCATCGCAGTAAGAGGACGGCATAGTTCGAAAACAAATCGAACGTTCTGATACACATATATGCACAACATGTTTACATGAAACCAAGCTGCCCGTTGGCAAAAGTTCCGACATCTCGCCTAAGTTTCGAGTTAACAGTGCAACTTTTCTCGCTTTTTTTTTAAATTTGTTGTATAATAATTGGTTAATATATTCACTCTTGAAACATGCGTAGCCGACGCATTAAGAAATTACAAAGAAATATTGTGCGGGGCATTCTATTTACATGAGATAATTTTACAATCGATTGTCGTTTTGAATTTTATAAAATATTTGCCAATGTTGCACGCGACCTATTTGATTATTAAATTTCGTACCTGTATGGCTCTGTATCGAACAGACATGGAAAACAGCAAACAGCCTACCCGTCGATTTGCTTGATAAGCTAGGAGCAATTTCAACATGATCCGTTGCTGTGAGTGGATATGTTGGTTCCTGTGTGGGAGGAGCCGTAAAGCGTCACAGATAAAGAAAGACATAAGAAAGATCAACAGCGTCATGTTAGAACTCAGCTGTAGGCTTGAGACGCTTGAGCAAACCCGCAAGTGCCAGGAGATCGTTGTCAACATGTACACAAGACAGCTTGTTATAATTGAAAGGTGAGCTTGTAGGCTTTCAATTAGCGCTCGGTTATATTGCTCAAGTCGTGAACTCTCAGAAATACCAGAAAAATCTTTTTTTTAATAATAATGATATAAATAATAGTGAAACATCTAAAAATATATTTCGCCGTTTGGCCTTCTTCTGATGCAGGTTTATATTACGTTTCGTGCTTTCACGCCTGTAGAAGCGCCTGTAGAAGAACTACGGTTGCTCTAAACACTAAACAAACTTCAACTCATTTAGTTGTGTAACAATAGGAAGCGGCTTCAGATTCGTTCTTCTTTCGCTAGCGATACTTCCATTTTCTTCTAACTGGTATCTATCGTAACGAAATTTCACTTGAGATTTTAGGATCAATTATTTGAACAGTGTTTCTAAACGGTTCATCTCGTCGAGGAATAATTGATAGAAATAAAAAGGTCTTAGGATCAAACACCTTTATCCGGTTGGACGTAAGTATGTAGAACATACATAAAATTTGATTTGAACTACTCTGTTCTTAAGTTAAACAGTAAATCTTCTTTGTTTTCGTTTCGTTATGAAGTGTGCTATACCGTTGGAATGGTTTTCTGGCTGTACAAGGCCGTTATCACTGTTGTGGTAGGACCACAAGATTTTACTCATAATTTTGGGTATAGGGATGCGTATGCTGGGCGAAAAAGAAGTGAATTTTACAGATTCCAAACTGCCAAGTGACCCAAGATATTTTACACCCTGCAATGAAGATCCTGTGAGTAAGAGATATTGGCTCATCTAACAATTATCTTTTTTCAAAGTGGTTTGCGGCGATCCTCGTCGAAGACGAGTGAAGCACGTTCTTTAGGCCCATAAGACCATTTATACAAATAACTTTTTTCACTCACACAGGTTGTGTGGTATGTTTCATTGACGAGACTTGAAGCAGCGACTTCTGATCTCTTCCCGGAGCCTTGACCGTCTAAGCCTCCGCATCGACAGCAACTTATGGACCCAGTTAGCCATTTCTGGGTAATATTGTCAGCTGTATAGACCTCGTGGTATATGGCACACCTGTCTCAACTTCTTTCGGTAACTTTCTCATCTAGGAGAAGGACGAATGAGAAGTGATGCCAACGAGATTTACCACCTTACACACCTACCTCTACCAGCCCGAAGTCAGACTAAAATGATGTCTGGACTAAAATGTCCGTGACCCGAACAGAATATATATTAGTATTCTGGTAGCACCATCGGACAGCTCGGAAGCTATTAAAGCAGATACGACCTATACACCATAAGTTATAATGTAAAACCTTATAGGCGCATTTTTTATAATTAGATTAATGCAATGAAAAAATCTAAAGTCTAACAAAAAAAAAAAAGCTAAAGCAACACAAAATTTATGAAAGGGTAGCCTAAGCAATTCTTTTTTACAGGCTTCATAGTGCCCAAAACGAATAAAAGCTAAGATATAATTATTAATGCGAACATTCATTTCTACAGCTCTATATACAGCATTACTATGTTATTTTGTTTGTCTGTCTGTTAGAACTACATCTTTGATATATGACTTATGCGCTCTGAAACAAATCGTCTTTTATTAAGTATTGAGGGTTCCCAGGGAAAATTTTATATACTTTGCTATAATGGATCTCGTCTTCACCCTTGAGCTTGCCTGAAATGCCTATATTTAGGAGAAGGTCAGCAAAAGGTAAGTTCTAACGGGATGCAATACGAGTGGCCTTTTTTGAATCATACCTTTCTTCGCTTATTCAAACTCAAGTACATCCAAAGCAGTTCTTATGTCTTGAATGCCAATCGTTTAAATCAAGGCGAGAAATATACTAGTGATAGAATCTTGTAACTTAATAACGTGTAACAACATATTCATTGCAGATATTCAGCTGACAAAGGCTACGAGCAATCAATGTCTGGATTAACGGAACAGAAACGACGAATATGCGATGCGTATAAGAAGGCGAAAAGCGAATTAGATGTAGGTGCTATTCCATTTGAAAACTTAATGTTTATATCCATTATTTTACTTTTAACAAAAAAAAAGGAAAAAAAATTAAAAAGGCAAGTATCTGCCAACTGTATATCCTACTCTTCGATTAAAAATAGAACCAGAACGAATAAAATATCAAATATATCATTACGTCGGAGATTTTGAGTAAGAATATACAGTGAGGGACACGATTTATTTGCCTGTATTTTCTCGATGGCTTGCAGCTATTAATATGTCTATTACGTATTGGACTATTACCGCGCCCGCCTAAGCTCCTATGAGTAAATCGCCCATCCCTGACTCCTTTCTACAGGAGGACACTTTTCACAATAATTCTATCGACTTTAGTTGTGCGAAACGGCTTTGCAAACGAATGATATCTACTTTATTTCGCTGCACAATAGAAAAAAGCTGTATAGTTATTTATCGTTAATTCACAGTGGTCTGTCGGTTGCTTTTTCTACTAATAGCGGATAGTGCTCCATTTCCGTGAGGGTTCATCTACAGGCGAAAAGACCTCTGTTTCTATAAGTACGACGGCATTGCTCTTTGTTTGTTTTAATTCTACATAGGAAATCGTCAGCAAGCAAATAAGTACGAAAAAAGAGTATGACACTAGTCAGCAGGAGGTGGCTAACCTCGCTGACCTCCTGCAGCACCTTCAGGCGGAGCCAACAACGGGTGCTCAGTAGAAGTTTTTGCGGAGTCCGATTGTCGGTAACATTGTGAAGAGACTTCCTACCAAGCCTAACAGAAACCTGGAGACAGAGGCAACAAAATTAACGAATATTTAGGTGTCGTGCCTTTTTGTGCACAAAATAAATCCCGGTGGTCCGTCTCACTTATTTTGAAAGCGGGTTGTGTGCAGTGATGGGTAGAATGGCGAGTGATTTGTTCAAGCTTTGGAAAACGAAAATGCTCCTAGATATTCTACGAACATATGCCGTAACAGCTGTAACCTTGTATTTAAAATATATGGACGATTTTGAACTCACACAGGGCAATTGTATTGCCTAAAATACTCTGCAAGTTCAGTCTATTATAGACCTGTAATAATTTGTTATTGCCTGCTATTACTTTTATACTTCGACGACGAAACCAAAGAGCTGTCAAGTGCAGCATGTTTAAGACCATCAAACGAAATAAACAGATATGAGTAGGATAAAAAAATAAAAGGATGCTACATATATGTAAACATATTTTCCAAAGAACGCAATAATTAATAAATGCTTGATAGAGTACGACACTTTCGGTTTTGGAGTTGTAAACTCACGGAACTAATTTAAATGCTTGCTTAATTCCAGTAGTTAAGACTTTAAAAAAATGATCTAGTTATTTTTTCTTTTTCTAATCTTCGGCCTAGAATGCTCCACAACTTAGGTCTGTCAGGCCCTCTCTTGTAATTAATAGAAAAAGCTTACAGAAAAGCAAAGTCAGTCAATCTTTGTTTATCATAAGAAAATAACTTTGTACTAAATAGTAAATAATACATATAATGATTGTCCCAATATATGTATTATTCAATTTTTTCCTGCTCTATGCTTCCAAGTCATTTATCCCAAATGCGATGAGCCTAAACCTTTATTCAGACTTCAGATAGAGCGCCTTGAAGATGAAGTAAAGTTTCTGCAAAAATTCGTTATATTTTACAATTTTATCACAATAAATGTACAAATGCTGGCCAAGCCCATAAAAACTTGTGCTGCTGTTTATGGTCAAGATGTGCTATCGGAAGAAATGACCTAAAGATTGTCCTGTCGTTTTCGTTTCGAACATTTCTATACCAAAGATGCTTTCCGTAGTAGTCGACCAGCTTCAAAAAAGTCGATGAAATTATTGCGAAAGTCGAGCAAGACTAGCGCGTCATGATATCACCAAAAAACAGATCATATACTATCTAACAGTTTGAAATCATTTAAAAAAAGCTAGTTGCAAAAAGCTCTGTGTTTAGGTGCTACACGAACTGACGCAAACGATCACGTTCCCATTTACGAATCTACAGAAACGTACCGAGTCATTTCGGTTGATCACGGGTGGATCACATACAACAGGAATATACAAATGAAAAAACGTGTTACAACCTGTGAAAAGGCCCAGAATGAAGCAATGGCTCTATGTTTAACGGGGTTGGAAGAAGATCGTGCATTATAAGCTGTTTCCGCTTGGCAAAACGATTAACTCAGGCTTCTCTAGCAACAACTAAAAGAGTACAACAGATGATTAAAAAAGTCAACCGAAACTAGTGAACAGAAATGCGTTGTCTTCAGGCCACGTACGTCTTTAGCTCACCGGCAAAATTGAATAGAAGATTTTAATGCACCCTTTGTATAAGCCGGAACTTACATTATCAGACTGCGAAACATCCTTTATGGTATTAATTTAATTTCAATGAAGAGACGAAGAAAAAGTTTGTAACAAGTTGTCGTTCGAAAATCGCAAAAGTTTTACAGTGAAGAGATTATGATGCTACCAGAGAAATGGCAGAAGGTCATCAATCAAGATGGTGTACATTTAACTTGCTAGGATTGTTTTGAAACATAGAAGAATACTAGCTTCAATTTTGGCTTTAAAACGGTCATTACCTTTTTATACAAGTTCGCCTTGGTAAAGGAAAAGGCGAAATTGATAGTCTGTATTTCGCATATCCTTCATATTGAGCTTATTATCATAATGGTTTCAAAGTTGTCTTGGTAGTTGTTCTGTCGACGCATTTAGCTTAGTATTGAGAAATTGGAACCACAAAATACACTTGATCCCTCTTTTCTAGCTTTTCTCTTACTTTTGATATTATATTCTGTAGGTCAGATGTCGGCTGCCATAAGTCCAATAAGGGGAAATAGAAAGTCGCATTCAACATGGGAAAGTACTAATGATACTGGAAATTGAAGAAATCTGGTCTAGCAGATAAACGGTAGGCTGCTATAACTCGTAGTCATGTTAGTCTCTCAAAATATAGTGTATACACGAGCTTGTCGACGGAGAAAAATTAAGATCGTTATTTTGGTGTAGATGTTAACACGAAAAAGAATAGGACACGCATGACAACAGTTAATTTTATTTTACGATATTAACAGTATATGGACAAGAAAAAAACGTTTTAGCTGATCCTGTTGGTTAAGGCCTCTACCTGGCAGACATGCTCTATACAACATAATTCAACCATAATTAGGCATGGCTATGAATATAGCCTTTTCTCTACCTTTATGAAGTGCATCACATCAACGTCTAACTGAATTCCTCATCAAAGACTTCCCGAAAAAAAAAAAAAAAAAAAACAGTATACTGCACAGTGTTGCCAGGTCAAGTGAATATTACATAAACGTAAGTATTCGTAACAGATGGGTCTAGAAAAATTTACTGATGGCTAGCATTGAAGGCAGGTATGCCTTTCTCCAATGAAAACGGAGTTTAAAAGACTATTTTTTTTTTTTTTTTTTTTTATAACCGCTATGGAAACGTTCACTAGAAGTACTTAACAATTCCAAATATGATTTCAATTCAAGCTCTAAGGCACAAATAAAATGGATATCGCTTAACAACAATAATTTATTTGTTTATTAATTACTCATGAGCGAAATTCATTCTTAATATGGTCAACACTTTTCATTATTAATATTAGACCTTATCCTTACATTACTATAGCTAAATCATTCACCTTATTTAGGAGCGTAGTAGCATCAATGCTATTGTCACATACATATCACTTTTTACGAATCGGAAACTATCGGTCACTGCCAACTCGATCATGCTTAAGTATAAATAAACGCAAGCCTTCGTGCTCAGCGTTTGATGGGTTTGATTTTTAACCTCATTTCTGCCACAACCTGCCTTACACACCCAACACAGGCAAGATCATCTAACGCTAGTACATGGCTGAGCGCGAATCAGAGAGCCCTATTATCCACGAGTACGTGAGCTGCGTACGTGTATTGTAGGACCGATAAAAAGACCCACGGCACGCGCTCGTCGTCAGGTCGGTGTTGATCGACAGTTTTATCGAAAAGCCTTAACTATTTACTAGTACCGCCAAAGTCGGCGGGGCCACAAGCGCCTATTTTCCATGTGTCTGTTATATGTAAAGCACGTGATGCAGTTGCTCTTGGCCCGATGATTGATCCATCTAATATAGCATTATTAAGCTATCTACGGGGTGATTATACAGGAGGATGACCTTTTACAACAAAAACGAATGACAGGCCAGCGAAGACGCTGGTTCAGGTTCCCAGGGCATAACAAGCTATTTAAAATCTCCGTTACAAAGAATCTTGAATATGCGGATTTCGAGGCTTTTGTTGAATGCCAAACGCAAAAGCTCGTAGAATCTCAGCGGTCGTTTTCAAAAAAAAGTTCATAGCTTTTTCACGTGTGAATAAAACGCGATTAAAAACATCGGCGCTCTCCCTGTTTGTGAACATGTTTGAACCGTTTGCATCGTGTGACAGAACAGTCTGTTGGATTTCTGCGCAGTGCGCATAAAAAATTATTTATATTTCACTCGTCAATATATCAAGCAGTACTGTTACTTGACTTAGGCGTGTTTGTGCATCGCCTCGGCAATGGTAAATGTTGATCCTCTCCAACACTCGGTATGATTTATTTCCTGTACCACCCTGTTATTCAAAGCATTGGAAATTGGTTCGGCTGAAACAGTGCGTTTCAGACTTTGCCTTTGTTACTTTCATCCGAACGAGTTCGAGTTAATCAATCATTTGCGATGGCGGCGTGAAAATCGAACTAGTATAAAATGGGAATATATGGAAAGTCAAACTTGTATCGGAAGCGATTCCTGAGAAAAACAAGCTTCAAAGGCAAAGTGGGTGACACGAAACGGTGAGTATCTTAATCGATATTCAATTGAACCATTAAGCATTGCGACCCAAATAACTTCGAACGATAAATATTCAAGTTGCTCTTTTCATGACGAAAACGAATTTCGACGAGATAAGCCACTGCTATATATTCAGTATTTGTTTCATCCACAATGGCAAAACTGAACGAGTTTCTATATTAAAACCAAGAAACTATACTTATCGATGTACCATCACAATCTAAGATGGAGCTTTCATGGCTACATTTTGTACAGGACGCATCGTTTGCCTTCTCATCACGCGTTGACCGAATGCTTTACCAGCACTAGCATTTTGAACCTGATAAAATATCAATAAAGCATTTTCGAAAATGAATATTTAATAAAAACCTGTTCAGCTTTGCTTGAGAATGAAAGCTTAGGATTTTTCGCTTTTACACCATATTATCTGTTGTGTTGTTGTAGAATTACACACAATGTAGTGAGGAACTCCATATCGATAATTATTTTTCACCCATCGTCTCTAGGAAGTTTTCCAGGTAGCAATAATGGCACCAGGTCCTCTATATTAGTACTGCGTATATGTGTTCTTCTCTTTGTACGGGAGACCCGCAGAGGCACTAGAAAACATCTGACAGAATGAACATCGTAATCTTTGATACGCTACAATAAATTTAACATATACAGTATTGAAATTCGTATAGCACCATATGGCACCTTCCGCCAAGCACGCCCAGGTCGGAGATTACATTGCTGTCAATATGCCACGGCCTGTGTGGTACGTAGGTATATATGTAACCGCTTCTGCGTATTGAAATGGGTAAGCCACTAGACGATAAACTTACTTTACGTTATTCGGTCATGTCAGATTATTCGGTTGTACAATATACGCATAATTTTTTGTTTTCGTTGCGTGTGTGGGAACTTGTTGGTATCGGTGAAAGGGTTGTGATCGCCACCAACACGGGCCAAGGGTGAAATGCGGTGTGATGCCCCAAAGATGAACACCTGCGCAAGGTCTGCTTAGAGAATCTTCCACGAGACTTTTACAAAGCCTGCCGTTGGCTGATCTAGGCTTTGAATTCGGGCACCATCAGCCGGCTCACATCGTCAACAGGCAGGTCAGATAAATAGGTACCTGCGAACGCAAAAAAAGATTAGTTCATGACAAGTACATGTAGTAGGCAGGCTGCTCCGGACAAAATGTTACCATCGTTTTTATCAGTACGTTTGCACGTGAAAAAGGTTTCCTGATGTTTTATATATTCAAGTATCTAAACTAGTATTAACAATTTAGTTCGTTACGCATTGTTTTTTATGTTAAATTAGAGAAGTGAACCAGATAGATTATAACCGAGCAACAAAAACCCTCGAAATGATCACTGCCCTGTGTGCCCGAGCGTCATCGTTTTCTATTATTATCTCCATAATGCAGTTGCTGGTGTATCATCCGTTAAATGAACTGACATAATAAGTGACTGGACGGTAAAGTTCGCCACAGGCCAGGCATACCTCGCCGCATTAGATCTACGTTATCATCATTCGATACTGCCAGGCGTGTAAGGCACACAGCCATCTCAGGTCCGTCAGACGGATTGCACGCGGACACATGTTTCATCGACGCCGCTAATTGCGGCTATAAAGCTGTTAAATGCGGATAGCCGCTCTGAAATTGAATAATCGCAAGAGATCGAATCGGTCCTACGTTCGGTTTCAATTGAGTACAGTTTTTTTTTAGTGGTGATTATTATTAATGTTCCCTTGCTTGTTACTCACGTGGAGGTGGCTAACGGAGCTCGGGGGTAACCTGGGAAGAATCAGCCACAGAGGAAAGGAACGATGCGTTTTCTCTCTGCGTTGCTTGCGGCTCTCCTAGCGAACCTGAACGACGTCAACTCAGATCGATGATTAAATGGCTACAGCCGACCGAAGTCGTTCGTTGTTGATTCGATTTGTTCAACACAAGGAGACATATGTCGACATCGTACCGCCAGTGCACACGATAATTTTAATACCACCGCCAACCATAAAGTGTTAGGTTGTTAATATAGGGAAAAGAGGCCGGATGTAATCCGCAGGCGTTACAGAAACATAGTGGTATCTATTAATCTTAACGGTGTCTGTATAATATAAAGAGCAAGTAGACTCTTGGACAGGGAACAAAGTAGGTGTTAAATTGGGAACAGCGGGATTGTAATCGCACCAGCTGTAAAGGCCTAAAACTTGAATATCGTCGTCAAAGCTATTCTGTAACTCTGAGCTTCTTCTTCTTTTTCTTCTTATGAAGATGTGCTGGACTTCAGGATGACACTATGTTGCCGCGTAAAATGGTGATATTTTTAATTGTCTGATGCGTTCTTCGAGTAGGAAGTCTGATTTTATAATGGAATAAAGCAGTTGGAAGGATAAGAGCAAATACAAAAATAGTTGTATCATTGTTTTTGGAGAAAAAGTTGATGAAAACAGCTGTTACAAGTAAACTATAAAGAGAACTTAATGTTAGCATAGGTGAGTTAGAGGGCAGCAAGTAGTATAATTCAGCCATGATACGGTTTCTAAACACTGGAAGATATAGTCTTGCATAAGGCCATAGTTCGAGTCAGCCTGTTCAGCAAAAACCATAGAGAAAACACTAAGTTTTAGGATGTACTGGGGATATCCACAAGCAAACGGTGCTACATGAAAGGCATTTTTGATGCATAGCTGCAAATACAAAATTGTTGAAGCCCTTTATGTTTTTTGTATGTATTTTTTTAAATATATTTCTTTATATATGTATTTTTTTTTCTTTTTAAATGTCTAAATACCACCACGAGGCCATTCGTCACATTTTTCTAACCCTTGTCCTGTATCGATACTTGTTGTAGCTTTCTCTCTATAGGCTTGTATGATATTTAAGATCGCAAAGTGCTTCCGAAAATGCACTTACTTGACCGTACATAGTCTGCACTGAGTTCGACTTTGAAATAAGATAATGGTTTCGTGTTTAGTTCAAAAAGGCCAAAAAATTACTGAGCCCTTTTCTCGACAAATTAAAAATAATAATTGTAGTTGTATTACCGCGCGCAATGAAAAATATGTTTGCTAACAGAAAATAGCTACGTACGAAAAGAAGGCCCTTTGTTGAATCAAATGTTAAAGCCCGCTTAGCTGAAGCTAGATGAGGTACGGTACCGCTACAGTTTGTGTTTAACTATTCGCACATGTTGCATTGTTCACTGTGTAGCAAGTTGCGCAATACGTACTTTTTCTTTTCAAAGTGGTAAATGAATAAGGTATCAATCCCCGTAGTTCCGGATATTAGGTCAAAGAATATACCTGGAGAATAAACGAACGTGTTTCGTCAAAACAAACTCAGGCCCTCCTCCCCCAATCCTAGCCAATTACAATAATTGTTGTCATTATCATTACTATACTACAAGCAAAAGTAGCTGATATCATATCTTTGCATTATTTGTAACGCAAGAAAGGTGCAAAATTGCTTAAGGCCTTTTTTTTTTATCAAAAAGGAATCGTACGTCAGAGCGCCGTACTCACCGCGCGAAGAAGCTGCAATTAATAGGCCGGTTGCTGCAAACTGAGAATAGCTCAAAAAGAGACAGAAAGCAAAGGCTCTACTAGAGGTAGGTTAAAAGTGTATCTATTAAACATCCATTATTCATGCTGACTGGGTAGGTGGATGGATGAATGGATGGATGAAAAGGTAAGGAATAGTAGTCCGAGTATATAGTGATAGAACAAAAAGAAGAAGTACACCCGAGTATCGTTCCATAAAAATGGTTTAAGTTATTAGGCATAATGACGTTTGGCAAGACTAACTTAAAATAGTTCTGTTAAGAAAGAAGGCTACGGCTGGACCGCCTAGCGTAATTCGATTGTATGGCAATTTTACGAAGCACTCTAAATTAGCAAGGTGGGTTAATCAGCCACTCGTTTCGAGCTCACAACGGAAGCTTACCAGTTGACTTACATATATAGGTGTATCTATAGAAGTGGATGGGATTTTAGCCTGTCCGGATAAAGTAGATGTAGCCACCGGGTTTCGTCGTTTTAAAGGATGTCTGGGGGCTATCTGTCTTGAAGACGGGCGGTTGCGGCGGCAACCCTATGGGAGCTGGTGGCGCTACAGCATTCTTAGGTGTGAAAAACACCTGCTCTCGAGGCGGTTCCGGCTCCTCAAGGAAATTGCCTGAATCAACAAAGTTACTGAAACGGTTGCTTTTCGGTGCGCTATTGAAGCGAGACTTTCCAAAGCTATCTTCCTTCGATGGAAAGTGACCCCCGTGGAAAATTAGAAAACTGTTTCGCGGAACACGCTCAGGATCGAGATCGTCACCTTTCCGTCGTAGAACCTGCCCCGCTTTTTTCTGCTTATCGAAATCAAGAATCGATATCCGCTCATCATTGAATCGGAATATCTTTGGGTAGCCATCAAAGCTGCCCCGAACGTAATCGTACTTTGGGAATGGATCATTTAGCCTTTCTGGTAATTGAAGATTTGGTGGTGGAGGAAGCGCAAGGGGGTAGACCTGATGAGGAGGATCTACAGGGACAGGACCGGCTTGTGGAACCTGGATGGGTACGACGGCCGCTGGTGGTCGCAGCGGAATTCGTGGAGCAGCCCGGAGGGGAGCCACAGGTGCCAACGGTAACGGATCCCCCGGTACGGCGTCGTCCAAAACTGGTGTGGGCAGCGGCAAACGGGAAGGTAGAGGTTGCCGGGGTCTTGGGGGTTCTTGCGGGGGCGGAATTCCCCGTGTATCGAAATCAAACAGCTTCGGCAGCTCAGGGATTAACTGAAACAGCGCATCCGGGCTGTCCTTGAAATTTATAGGCACAGCATTGGGATCGAACACTCCGCGATATTCAATGTGGTTCGGACCCACGTTGGTGAAGAAGAACGAAGCTTGTGGCGTTCCTTGAAACGGGTGGTCTTGTAGGAACGCTATGCGTTTGTTTACGCTGGGCTGGGTTTTATTTCCTGCAGGGGATTTATTAGTTGTCTCTGTATCCGCTTTGAGTGGCTTAAACGCCGACTTGCTATTTTCTTTCGGACTAAACAGCTTTCCCGTTGAGCCGCTGCCACGCTTTCTGCCGGAAGTCTTTGGCGACTTCAGATTTTCGGGTTTGTCAATGAAATCCAGAATGTCGTCAAAATTAACATCCTTCTTCTTGCTTTTTGTCGGAGAAGGACGGTTTCGTGAGAGCGGATCGTTTGCAGACGGGGGCGAAATTCTTGTCGCCGGAACCGGTTCATACCGGTTTGGTTGATTCGGTAGATGGGGCTGACGCAGCGAGACTCCAACAGGATGACCGGCATTGATAGGCTGATCAAAATCTGTCTTCCTTTGTCTTTTAGGGGACCGTGTTACCGCTACAGGCGAAGGTGCCAGCGGCGGTGGAAGTAAATCGTAAGGGGCGTCCTTGAACAGCGCCGTGGATGGTGGAAGCGCTGGAGTTACTTCGATGGCTGGTGAACTGGTGAAATTTTGCCGTCTTTTGCCAGCTCGTTGTTCTTTGTTCGGAACTGATGAGCCGTGGTGCTTTCGGCCTCGCTTTTTCACCTTCTTAAGGTTGTCAATGAAAATAGGCTCATCGACGTCAAAACGCCGCTCAACAAGAGGCGTCGTTCGTTGTTTGTCGAATCGTGGTAGGGGTGGAGGCGCGACGTATCGCACTGGTGCCTGTGTAGGTTGACTGGGCTTATCATCATGGGACTGGCCTGTTGGCCGTTTCCCTCTAGGCCGGCTCACTGGTGCTTCAGTATTGAGCTTCAATGTGTACGGCCGAGGAGACGTAAGTGGCCTTAGACGGGTTCCGAACGGAATATGGGTTTGATATGCCTCCGTTGTTGTCACGTTTATGTCAATATCGTTACGGCGTGCCGCGTTGTCATCCGGTAACTGAAACTTTTGTGATGATCGTACGCTCTCGTGGGGGACAACGACAGATACCAATTGTTTCGAATCAATTGCATGCAAGTACGATTCCATGTCATCGTTATTATTGGTCTCGCCATTTCTGCTAGGACCGCCATTCCTGGGGATGTATTCTATTGGGTTGTGTTGGTTATTCTTCGTCGCATTGATGTTCCTAGCCGCCCACAGTAGCCCCACCAGCAGTGGCGCTAACCGTGGTATCATCTGAAAGGGCGCGACAAAACGTCCGAAGCAGAACAAAGCGCCGATTAGTACGTCTAACCTCACATTACAACATTTCTTTACAGGTAAACAAGCCAAAACATGATATTCCCACAAATTGCGTCATAAGCCTAACGTGAGCAGATTAAACGCACAGCTCCTGCGACGTTGAATAAATAATATGCATGATTTTACGTTACCTTCACTGAGAAGTTCTATAAGTATTGTTCAAAGGCATCACAGAGACGTTTTCACTATGAGTGCTATTGTATCAGGGTCGCGACGACGACGACGCTGTAGAACATCGGAGCGGGCAGAATTTGCCATCCGCTCAATTGTACGTCTCAATAACAATACAACAGACAAAGATGAATATTGTAGATTGTTGTTTAAACGGGTAAGCCAGAAGTTGTTCATGACTATGATTAAATTTCGATTATCTACAAGTTAGGAAGCATTGGCTAAGAAATATGTAATTTACAAAGACTTTTATCCGGAAAGCTTCAATTCTGATGGGAAGGTTCGCTGATAATGAGGTAGTATATAACCGAAACGGAAGCTAAAGCTGTATCGGATACAATGTGTACCTTTATACGTCGTAGAACGTTGGACACCGCGCACGTAGAACAAAACATAATAGTCAGATACTTTGAGCCAAGAGTATTCGGATAGGAAATGTACTGTATAACATCGTGAACCACCTTTAAAATATGAATGTATCAAAAATGATCGACCACACGTTTGGCGCCATCCAATCATATCCATCATTCTAGTATTATGTCCGATTGAAACGGGTACTGGTTCAAATACGAGTTCTTGAGCAAATCGATGCGATACAAAAGAATAGCGCGCAACTAAACACAGATCGATATTTTACTTCTATTTCAATGCGTGACGTGATAAGTCTAGAGTTTTCATACCAGCACCAAAAATTATTCTCGCCTTAAGTGTCGCATGCACGCCGAATTATATTTCTACCTATTCCTGTCGCGCGACACCGCGCATTTCGCCAAAGTAAAGGTCACTGCCATTCAAACACCTGCCTACAGAAACGCGAATGCTGTAACCGCTTGGCCTCAATAGCGGTGCGGCTTCTTCACCCCCGTCGCTTCCTTGTGACCCCCCCCCCCTTAAGGCCATCCTACTACTATATGTGGCTGAATAGCCCGTTTGTCCCTTGCAGGCTTCCCAGACGCATTCTTCTTCCTAGTTCCCTGCCCTCTGTAGGTTCTTGCCGGCAGGGTTCGGCGGTGATTACGGAAAGCGGCGGTACGATCCTAGCAGGGCATCGTTCGCAAAGAGAGCTGCCTTAATCGACGACGCAGTCCGCCACATTTTTATTGTTGTCATTTTACTTGTTGTGTCCTGAACTCCGCTAACCTCTGACCTTGGTTTTGAATGTGTTAGCTCGCATTAGTTGTGGCATCAAATCTAGCCCAAACAAGTAGCAGCAGCAACAAATGACGAGGGAGCTAGCGTCGTTCGCAAAGTGGAAGCGTCAGGAGAAATAGTCTCTTCTGGGCTATTCTGTTTTACCGCCGTACGAAGAAATCAGCGCAGCGCTCTGTAACGACAGTCTTCTTCGTTTCGACTGTAGGCACTGCTACAACTAATTCGACCCTTTTGTGCTCGCTGTGAACCACTGACATAAACACCACTTTTATTATGAGCAATGACTGTACACAGGGGTGTACTCACCCGTAGCTACCATTATCTTTATAGTGCACCAACAGCTATACATATGTGTGTGTATATAACTCGTCTCGAATAGCAGCAGCATTGGCAGTAACAGTGAAGGGAATAATAACCTTGCGGCGTCTGCTCTGAGCTACTATAGCTGCAGAACTACTAGGTGTTAGGTTTACCTGTAATTGATTAATTGACACACAGACAGCCACATACATCAGCAGCTTGTCACCAGAGTTGGTGCTACCACCAACGCCGGCATCATCTTCAATCGGGTATTTTACGTGTGCCGCGTAAGTGGTGTCTATCTTTATTGCCAGTCTTTTATCTCGCATAGGGTGGCGCCTGTGAGTGTGTGCGATTAACCAGGTTAGTTAAGAAAGCCCGAAGGCAGAGCCAAACCTTGCAACTAAGCGCGCCGTCGGGAGCAACAACAGCGTTGTAGTTGCCTCTATTGTAAGTACTGGGTCAGTTTACTAATATAGCAGAAGCGGATCTACTACAACAACGGGGTAATGGCTTGCGCTCTCTCTTCCGTCCTCCTTCGTTTATTATTTCGCACTCTTCGGATCGCAAATCGAAGCGAATTAACGCCCCCTTACCGGCGTGAGGACACAACCTTTGAAACCCCCTGTTGCTCTGAAATCGGGAAAAGTCTAATAGCCGTATTGTCGTATTCTACTTTGCTAATACATTGATTGAAATCTTTTAAAGTGTGACCTTTTAATAGCACCACAGCACAATCAGGAGAACCTTCCATGCGTCACTGTGCCAGGCGCTTCTTACTTTTTACAAGCTTTCTTGTTCCCCCTTGGTTACCTTGTAGTTAGTGTTGTAAGCATACATGTATAGTTCAAAGTCTAGCCGTTGATTTTGTAGGAGCAGTCGTTACGCTATATTATAACGTAGCCTCATTTCTAGTTTATGTATGGCGGCTCTTTGCAGGCCGTTCAACCCTGAAAACACAAACGACGTAATGCCTCGCCGGGGCAGGTGTTGCACTTAGCAATATTCTTCTGTCACTGTGCACAACAAGACGCCGAAATGCTTCTTCTTATCTTATGCCTGCAACAGAAATGCATGCTAAATCGAGAACAATAACGTAAAGTCACGACGAAGAACACTTGTAGTGATAGTAATAGCACCATCTTTGTCGTTACTGTTGTTGCTAGTATCGTGCGTGAAGCAGGGCTTCTCGCATCGGACCATAATACCCACGGTTCGTGCGTCTGCCCGGCTGGCTGGTCGAATGGCTGGCTATAGTTGTGTGCGGTTCAAGATGAACTTATTCTTAATACGGCTAAGAATTAAGCGCGAAACAGGTTCATGATCGTGGCGTGAATTGTCTGAATACAGGCTGAGCGACCGACTCGCGCTGAACGATGTCGTGTTGTTTCGGCGTTCCACAGCAGCAGCCGCAGAAGCGATATGGGAACATCAGTGGCGTCGACAGAAGCCTGAAACGGCACGTTCACGGGATCGTTGCGGGAATCGCAAAGGCCAGTGGGAGGCATGGGAGCGTCGTAAAGGAATCGTAACGTCACGAAAGAAAAACGAATCTCAACTAACCAACGAACAGATAGAAGAACGAAAGCGGTTTGTATTTTTATCACACACACAAATTCAACTACGAATTGATTCGTGACAATGTGACACGAATTGATACGTTAACTAAGCAAAGGAGAAAGATGCGATGCGCGCATATAGGTGACAGAATGAATGTCGAAGATCTGGCGACGACGAAAATTCAATGGCATCATCATATAGTGGAATTGAAAAATGACAGCAGCTGAATTTGGGAACCAAAAAGAGAAGTGAGTCAGACATAATATACGATCGAACGAGATGCTGTGTACAACAGGCATATATTGTTAGAGGAATACTTACTGGTTCTATCGTATACAATAGATAGAATAAGCGAGAGTTGCGTAGGCTATAGAAGCAAGAAGATTTCTGTAATATTCTCTGGACCGTCATGATAATCAAATGCAGAAGGATTTGCAGTCGTAGGGCAGCGGCGATCGCTACTGACGATTTGCAAAAAAATCCACCATTGTATATAATAATTTATCTCAATTAGAGAATAAGGATTTTTTATTTCGTTAAATGCAGTGTTACTGCAATCCCCATGCACCAAAAAATTCTAATATTACTGATGTCCAAGTCAAGAAAGTTGTAGGACATCTTATAAACTACTGTTCTGTTTACTATAGAAATCAGTCCTGCGCGCCTCAAAACCAGCAGTCGTGAGAAGGTTATTTATCTGTGCTGATCATAACATTAATATGTGTAGGTGTTCACTCTTATATCGTCAGCAATCTCACTATAAAATTTCAATTTACAATTTCATTATAAAAATCAGTAATTTAACTGAGTAGCATAAAAAATTCAAGTATCGATTGTTCTAGCCTATTGCCGTAGAAATTAATGTAGCTTGGGTAATTAAACATTTAAATTTAGTGTAATTTCACTTCCGAATTTTCGAGAATTTTGTATTTGAACAAATTCAAAACTCACAATTTTATTTTTTCTTTTGCTGTTATCAAAACAGCTATAAATGCAACTATATATAGTATGCACATAGGAGCTCAACAACTTGGCTTACTTTACGCATAAATTCGAGCCGATTAATACGAATGCCGTAATAGGCTTGAATTTATGCGTTTAGCTTCGGGCACGTGTAACAGAATATAACCGGATTATGCGCAATCAGTAAATTATGTTCGGTTGTCAATTTGCATTAACGTGGTACACATCGGCACCTGTGGAAACGGGAAGCAATCAAACAGCATATATATATATATGTATACACAGTGGCCACTGCTGTCGATCATCTCTACGGCTTCGACCAAGTATTTACAATATTTCTTTCATCAACTTTCTGGTGAACAAATAACAATTTCGAAAAAGCAATGATATATCTATTAGAGTTTTCGAGGAAGCAAATTGTCATCAATATCTCGTAACCACCTAGAATAGAGTACGTGTCAAGCAGACGACTTTGCCAAACTGCAGTCTTTTCCGGTTTCTATAGACAGAATTCGTGTGCTTCAATTATGATACACTGTGTGAGTGGACGAACATAGTCTCGTAAAGACGTGGGCGCAGTGTTTCGAATCCTAGGTTAAGTAGGATGATAAGCCTTTATGTGGAAAATTCGGAACGAAAATTCGTATGTTCCTAAATTTAATAAATATAAGCGTTTCCACTAAACGATCGTTCAGATTACTGAGACCCTTGACGTGCAATTATATTCAAGAAAATTTGGCAGTCAAAATATAGCATAAGCTAGAAAGTGAATTGAGAAAATAATAGAAGCATCTCAATAATCAATGTGGGGTGCGTTTTCCCAAGTGCTAGGCCTCGTAACAGCAGTGTAACAAAAGACACGCTTAATTGTTGTGGCTTAGTTTAAAGACCGAGATACGTAAACTCATTTTTCCTCTAAGACTTTTTTCCCACCGTGAAAACCTGCCAAAGCTAGACTTCAGTGTTCGCGCACAATCAGGTCGTCTCGCCTATGACAGGTTTAAATCAATATTCAACCAGGTCTAACAGCAACCTCTATGCCGTTTGCCGCAGATGTTAATGTAACCGTTCACCATCACCACTGGTTGTTGGATCCACTTGTCGGATACGCAGTAACCTCTCGTTGTTAAATTTGTTGGATAAACTGTTCTTTTGACATCTTCTGAAAAGTGCAGAGACTATCAGTCTCGAATTTATATGCATGCTTTTCAATCACCACTCTATTACTGGTCCACTTGAGGGCGCGAATTCGAATGGCACTGGGGACGTCGTATGGAGAACACAAAGCAGCTGATTCTGATTTTTATTTAGAATAATAATAGAATTTATTTAGAGCAATCACATGTGATCTAACCTGGATAAACATCTGAGGGTTATGATTACTACGGTCACGGTCACTGTTTACTGAGTTAGTATATACAAGTAAATGTTTTTCTTTCTTAGTAAATGTAATGTTTTTATATATAATTTATGGTGCGGTTCCGCTTTAGGACGCAGAATTAGGACTCATCGTTCGTGCTCGTTATACCGCAATTTTTCCTATGGATTTTCTAGGGAACAGCTAGCCTAGATTATTTAACTTGTGACTACGTCGACACAAAATTCTTGCGGAATGAAGTGGGTTCCAACGTGTAATTGAGGCTAGGTGCAGTATTCATACTGTATATTAGCAAATAGATTGAAATTATAAGCTTGAAAATCGGTTAAGTTAAAGTATGTTAATTATACCGACGTAGATCTGTTTATCGGTAAGTAGTAAATTAAAAACAGAATCTAAACTCACTTGATGTCCTATATAACCCATTGAATTTTATGTTGATTGTATTTGATATTCTTAGGAACCGCCGTAACCTTGTTGCAACACGGATCTTTTAGCTGAAGCCGAGTCGTAAAATGACTATCGACCGCCTATAGCAAAACTGAGTCGGATCTGCCGATGGGCGATAGCCAGGTACAGCGAGGGATCGTTGCAACATTGCTAAAATATTTAGACTCGCTTTTGGTAAATACGTTACTATCGGTTATTGGGTTGGCTTCAATCGTACATTATCGGTCTCAAAGTGTGTACATAGATTTTAGCCGGATGGCAGTTATGAAAGTTCCCCCAACCATGACCCCAGCCATAAACCGCTCGAATGACTGACCAAGCAGCACTTCACATGATAGATTTGATCACACGATAGAAATAATCATAGGCGATTGAATTATTATAGATTAAGTAGTAGTTGCTTACGAAACAACAAGGATGGTGCATCAGCAGCATTTCCCGAACGACAGCTCTGATTGCGTAATAAAGAAGATCTTTAACGTATAACTGTAGCCGATTCTGTTTTTAAATTTTTCATAGGAAAATAATTGCTTGTGCATAATTTATTCTACGGCATCAAAGCGCACAATATTCTGATGAGCTAGCGGTTGTTGACACTAAAAAAATCAGTTATTCGATGAGGAAAATACATTTAACATAACGTATGTGTCTATTCTAATAACAACATAAGTTTATTTAACTTTCTCCTCTTATTAGTGCATATTTAAGCCACAGAAAAAAAGTATCTGTCATTCCTAACAAGTATAGAAGTAACTAGTCACCCCTGAACAAACTCGTTTTAGTCAGTTAATGATACCTTTTACTGATTTAGGTGAGCATATCTCTCGACGGCGTGCCGTATCATGACGCTAAGTATCAGCGAGCATAGTTAGTTTTGAACCCATTTCAATCACGTCTATATTCATCAGCGTCCATGCTGCAGCACGCAAAAATTCACGTCTATACATATATTTTTGCGTGGAAACCGTTTCTGCATGTCATGTTGTTGTACTTTCGATGACGTTTTTAAATCGATAGAGTCAGCTATCATGTGCTGGGGTGGACGACCTCCAACACGAACAGCTTTTCCACAGTTAGGTATAGCAGTTATACATATTTAATTACCAGCATTTTTATACATCGCCCCGTTTGTAATATAGATAGATTAGATATGATGTTATATTAAATCATGCAGATTCATGACAATGTGAAGCTTACGTTTTCACTTCGTCTTGTAGGAGTAATGCAAATTAGAAAAAGCCAAACGATTCTTCAAGCATGAAGTTCAACGGTTTCACACAGTAAATATAGTAGATAGCCAAACATTGAATCTCTGCATAAATTCACCCTCGGCATAACTGCAGTCGCTATGTACCTTTCAGTAAATTACCCTAACGCATCCCTATCTATATATAATAATGTGTACTAAAATTCTAATTCTACGTATTCTATTGTACATATGGTCGCTACATGGGAACAAAATATCGTCGATGTGTAAAACTGTTGTGCTCAAGCCTCAACATCATCATCATCATCATCATTATTATGTATGAAGAGGCCGCGTCCTCTAATCTTCGATACGCATAATAAACAACCGTAAATGGCCGAAACGGAACGCCACGGTACCGATAACCCCAGCGGAGAGAACAAACCGAATGATGAGATGAGTTGAAGTAACTGATGATAGACAATGCAACCGAACGCCAAACTGGTGATACATCGAAAATCGACAACCCATAACGACGACGGCAACAACGGCCACTAATCTTACCAATGTTAATATTGTTCGAGCCACTGCTGTTGTCACCGCTGGTACTAGTATCGCTAAATATATCAGATAGGTATCGCTGGAAAGACGATTATACCTGGAACGAGAAAATACGTTTGGTCGATAGAAATGACCGGCACATGAACTCACGCACACACAGCGAGATAAGCAGACGAATGAATGGATGGATGGATGGATGAAGAACGTTGTGACACTAGAGTAAATCGGTCTTGCATCATGTTATGACAACAGCGTCGCATTGAGCTTGTCGTATTCCTTGCTTGCTTTTCCTCAGCGGACGTCTATCAGCACGCTATAAGCTAATAATATTTAAATGTACCGTATACATGACATCGAAGATAAAGGGTTCAAGGGCTCCGGCCGATTCGTTCAAGGGCAGCCGGGTAGGCGGATAAGGCGCGAGCACTGTGGTGGCTCCAGGTGCCGTTTCGAATTGACTGTATGAATTTTTGTGCTTGGCCTTCTGCTTGTTTGTTGTTGTTGTTGTTGTTGTTACCGTTGTTGCTGTTGTTACCGTTGTTGCTGAAGTGAATGATGTGTCTGTATGATCTATCTATACAAGTAACGTATAGGAAAGAACTGCCAAACCGTAAATGGCGTTCTATTGTCACGCACCGTTCAACTCACAGCCAACAATCCAAGGTACATATGTGTATAGCAGTACAGAATCAACAAGCTGAAACCTTTAACTTTTTATAGCAAAGGTAAACGAAGGCAAGGTGAACAATAATTGCATTCTGTTGGATCGATGCGTTTTATGGGGCCCATTTATCAATTGCGATGTTAGAGGAACCTGATTAGAAAACGATGGCTTATTTATCGCCTACCTCGTGTAAAAAGCATAGCATTTTATTTTAACTTACGAATCTATACATAAAATGATGTTTTTTTTTTCCATTGTTATACTTGTTTTTGCTTTATGATATTCATTTATCTATTTGGCGAAAAGCCGATGGTTGCAGAGGCTCTATCTATTCACTGAAAATCAACGGCATCAGGCGGTATCAACAAACATCAAAGATGATACCGCAGTCGTATAACCGAGGGAAAATTTTGACGAATTTTATGGGGAGCAATACTTAATCTACAACACAAATTTCGCTGCGCGACGCATAATTTTTATCGTGTGAGCTAAAACTAGACTCATTAGAACGTTTTCCAGTTCGTCATAATCAGACTTTCGTTTAATTAAGGCGATGAAGGAAGAAAATAGGAAGGACGTTCGACGTGAAGTATTAAAACTGACCTATTCTGGACTATCGCGCGTTTTTAAGAGTATGAATATAATAAAGCAAGAAAAAAAGCTCGAACGATTGCAGTTGTTACAAAACAGTCTCATGACGTATACAATGTGCATTGCATCGTTATAGTTTAACAGCAATTGGTTTGAAACAACCTTTGGGTTGAAAATACATCAAGAATAGGTTTAAACATAAGATCTCAGCTTTTTGGGACATCCTGAAACAACTAAATGGCAAAGGTCAATTTTAACACGGCTGAGAAGTTCGAAAGTCCGAATTGGCCCAGCAAAAAAATCCAACAACGCAGACCTGTTAGTAAATAAGCTTGACATCTGGTGTCATCTTCTTACTCTTGGTAAATGTGTACTGTCTTTAAAAACTGCACACAGAAATAGAATAAAATAATCTCGCGTTTAGATGATGTCGTCCAGTCTCATTTCGTCAGCATACTGTGAAACAGCTTCGCAAAGTAGCGTCTCAGTAAGGTCATCATTATTACCAATGGAGCTATAACAGGTTACAATAGGTGAAACTCTTGAGTCGCTACTGGTAGTGCTGAGAAATTATCGGTGGAAATCGGGGAAACAGTTAAATTTGTATCGCAAAATACGCTTAAAGCTAGATTTGAGAAATTTTGCACAGACGAGGAGTTTCCCACTTGTGACTCGATCATAGCGGAAGACTTCACTACGACAGTAATTTAGTCCACATACATAAAATTATTTTTGGATGCGCGTTTCTTTAGGGTTTTGCATACAAGTCTACCACCATCTTGTTTAAAAATCATAATTATCTTCGACTATGGCTACAGTTAAAGCTACTCCTTGTCGTCTGGTTCCATTATTCAATACTGTGAAAGAGCTGGCCCGGGCTCTGAGAACCCGCATTTCTACTAAATCGACGTTTCTGTGTTGGTTACATTGAAAAACATCACAGCCGTTGCACATCTGTATGAGTCTCTGCGTGGCGGTACAGTCCTGGAACCCGTACACATGTTTACGTTAAAGTACGTTAAGAAGCAACGCTTCCGTAACTAATCTGGATAAAAAAAAAACAAATCAGAACTACTAAGATATCAATAAAGGGTTCAAGAATCAGTAGATCCTTCTATCTGGGAAAAGCGTGTCCCAAATTGTTTCGTCAAGGCAGCTGCGATTTTTTCATACTGGCGAAGGAGTTGGACACGAATTAGTCTTATGATCACATCATGATCCATATGGGATCTAGACTACTTGTTTGTGGTCCGTGTCTATACTGCGGTAAAAAAACCACCGTGACATGCAAATAAACGTTGACAAACTAAGTTGCCGGATGAAAAATCTGTGCTTTTTTAACCTGATGTCATGACACCGCATGAGGAAAGCATGAGGAAGCAGCTGCCTGTCAACAGAACTCAAAGGAAGGGCAACCATTCAGAAGAGCCCTCTCTTACGCTTCTGTGCGGTTCGTAGTCCCCCCCCCCCCATTTGGAGGGGCATAATGTCACTGCTGTACATATTCTGACAATAAAAAACACGCCAAGCGAATTTACTGCCTTGGTACAACAAACTAAAATATTTCTATAAATAGATAACTCCCTAGCATACTGTTAGGTAAATTTATACAGTATCACTAGTACATATTTAGATAATACACAACTTTCAAGCGAAAAATCCGCATGCACTATCGTACAAAGCTATACAGCTAGCAAAAATGACACAAAACTATACACAAAGCCAGAGAATGATGAGTTCTACGATTCCATCATAGGAACAGTGCCTGTACATTCTCATATGCATTTCTGCGACAAATTGCATAATTGTATATCTGTCAGCTTTTCCCTAAACAACTAGGCTTAATGAAGTTACCCAATTTTTTTTTTGTAGTGACATTAATCTGTCTACATTTTTCAATATTCCCTTATTATCTCAGGTCGCTCTCTTTTTCTGTACTTGTTGTCGGCTTCCGCTTATTTCTTTACCACTTGCATTGGCGTTTGCAAACGACATAAATGGGTCGAACTTAGAACAGTCCCTGGCGGTTACTAACGCTCGGTGTCGCATACGTGGACAACAAGAAAACTGACAGAACAACGTCGAACGCAACGGCAGTAGCAGCGCCAATAAATTAAGTAAGTATAAGAGATGGGTCCTCGATGCGAATGTTTCGTGATAATCCACTTTTTTTTTTTGGGTTTTGTAGACAGAACCACTGCTGCTGCTACTGCGGCCGCGGACTGCTGATAGCGAAACAAACAAAAATCGGTAGGGTGCCGCTAGTTAACTGAAGCATCTGCTAGACCCCCCGATAAGATATGATCCATTATATTATTTTTTGGTGTTTATGAGTTCCTTAGAGTTTATGTGCATCACGATTGGTAATGATGGCATATGTAAAGCTAAAAGATGGACGCTCAGTTTTTATACCTTTAATCAATTAATTTCAATTAATATAAATTTTTCTGTCGCAAATTTGGAGTGGATTCGGTTTGAAGGCAACTAAAAGGTATACTCATTCTGAACCTTAGATTGATCTAATGTTTTCAAGAGAAAAAGCAAAGATGAACCAGCGGGTGCACAAAATGACACCATGATGTCGATAGCGTTTCATCATGCGTAATGGCATTAAACCATCTCACTAAATGAAGTAAGTTCAGTTCAAAAAAGTTTTCGCGTAAGTTACGTGCCTCAACCCTTCACAATACATAATTCGGTAGCGTTTTTCTTCGATATTTTAACCTAACAATATTTCTAGTGATTACATTGATTAACATACCTTAGCAATAGACAAATACACAATTTCGTAGAAAATCCATTACATTATTATATTGAAGAAAACCCTAGAACATTACAGAAATGTTACGTTATATAGTGATCTTTGAATTGGATTCAGAAATGATATAATCGTCGACGTCACCGTCATAGGCAGCAAGCAAGACAAGTCTCTTAGCGAAACGAAACAACTTAACACTAAATAAGAACGAACCCCGATGACATAATTTAAGCTCAAAACAGGAGCTTGAGGAAATTCGATTGAGCAGAAAACAGAAAGGTCTTTGATAAGCGGTCGTGGCCATATTTGTAGTTGAAGAGCACAGATATTAGGGTCATGCGTGAATCGACGGACGCACACGGCAGCAGCAGTAGCTCAGCTGTCACATGATGAAACAGAGGTCGCTGGTTATTTCTACGGTCGCTTAGTACCGAATTATCGTTGGTAAAACGTGATTCGTTGATATGTCGGCTTAAAGGTACTACATTGTAAGCAGACTGAGAGATAACAAGCCGAGACGCAGCGGTTTTCGAGCAGTGACAACGGGTTCTGTATTGAAACGCCCTTTCATCTTGTGACGCGAGCCTTAAGCGCGTTATGTGTATTTAATTACGACAGCAGCCAGTTAATCACTGTAGGAAAATGGAAAGCATTAGATTACGTTCAAGTTAGCGGATAAATATATGTTATAAGGTGAGAAAAATGGCTTGTTTAGAGAATAGCATGGGAACGAGGCGATGCTTATGGCTGAAAAAATCTAGTAGAAACGCTATCATAACAACGAATAGGAGGAAAAAATAGAGCTTTGGCGTTTCGTTGTCAAGTTTTTTTTTAGGTCATTCAAGCGCGGAGAAGGTCCGCGGTGGTGCGAGTGATACAATAAAGCTAACAAGTTGAAAAAACGTACTATCAGTGGTTACTGATATGATTAAGCATCAATAAATAAACTTGTAACTGAACTAGGTAGCGATACGGGTGCGTAGCTGTGGAACACAAAGAGTCAGATACAGGTAGATGTTTACAGTATCTGAGCAATGTCGAAGGGGTTGCATCTGTTGTAGTTGAACTATGTTGGACATCGTCGTCATCATCATTATTATAGAATATAGAGATAAAAAATCCAGCTTTTGTTTTATAATGTGTGACCGTAGCAGACTTACAGCCATTGTCTACGGGACAACTCAGAGACCGCGCCATTAATCCCTTAATGAGCTTTTCGCTCTTGAACGGTAGTTTAACTGGATTTGTTGGTTGTTGCGTCATACCTCCAAAATATCCACTTCTCTCAGTAAAAGGACGACTAACGTCACCTACAAGAGGCTCACCAAAGTTACTCATTCTGATTTGAATAATGTCGATGAAAGACTACTATTTAGATCCAATAAGTGTATTCGGTACTTGACTCTACCTTTAGAGCACTGGTAAAAATATACCAGCGGGTTCTGTCAAGATCACCGAGAAACCAGCGTGGCTATCTCCCGACTAAAATAAACCAATGGCTATATAATGCTTTCGATCACATTTGAAAATATATATGCATACTATAAATAAAGATGTATTATCATTCAAATTATCGAAGGAAAAAATTATCACCATCGAAACAAAGGAATGCCCGAGAATAATTCATTTGACGAACTCTAGAAGCCTAACAATCCTTCTTCTTGAAAAAAAAAAACAATTCTTAAGATACATTGAATTAGGGTAGAGTAACATTATGCAGACAACTACACGCAAGTCAGCTAGATTCGTTAATGAAAGCTAATTGTTGATTTGTAGATTACCTCTTTGTATGGATATAGTAGGAAAATAATGCTTGTTTAGATGATTGATTAATTTAGGTTCACCTCTATCATTCCTGCGACTCCACTTGTCAGTAAAATTGTTTTTCGCTATTATGTAATCTAGTCGATCTTACAAATGATGAGGGGTAGGCCGATTCAGCTAAATGATGGGGACTATTTAGTGAAAAATATATATACACGAAGAAGACTCAAAGCTAGTTGTTACTCGTGGCGCGGTGAGGCCTCGGAAAAACAAGAAAGGAAGGTTAATAGTTGAATGACGTCAGTCATCATCGTCGTCGTCGTCACCATCATGGACGCCCTGGGGGGAAACCACTCAGGAATTGTGGTAGCGCTCTTCAATCAACTGATTTGCCAAGTCATTAGCTGTCACTGGGAACGGGTGCATAGGCTGGTCATTCCGTTGTGTCTATCTTGCCAGCCGATATTTTTGCTGTTGTTGTCCATTTTATTGGAATATGCCTATCGTTACCAGTCATCTCTATGGGCAGCGATTTGCGAACGCCTAATAATTTTATATGGTTTGATGACATTATCTGGCACTCTTCGACTATCCATATGACGCTGCTGTAAAACCGTAACATTTTCTAGCAGTTATCTAAATATATCTATAACAAATTGTGAAGTAATAATAAAGCATGTCATAAGTGCGATTTAGAGGATCGTTCGTCTTGGCGAACAATATTCTTAAACCTCCATGTTTAAGTAGTAGTGTTTAATTGGATTTCTTTCCTTTACGTCAAAGTGCAAACTTCATTTTGTGCGCTCTTTTAGAGCAAACACTATTTGTTTTTTTTTGATATACAAGTAAAGATGTAACAAAAAAACAAATTCAAAGTCATTATTAAACTACCATCATGCTTCTATACACTTGGCTTAATGAGACGAACGAAAACTGTGCTAAACTAACGTGACTAACCGTGATTAATTAAAAGATAAAAGAACGAAAATTACTAAGCAAGAATCGAAAAACGTGCTTATGTTCATCTATGGAAGTTGGCTAATCAATCAATTCGATCACTATAGCTCACCTTCTGGTAATCGTTGCTAGGGTAAAGGCTGTGCCTGAGCGTAGCCTTGGAGGCGTAGATACCGGTCAAGGTGCAAAGGGAAAGCCTTTCGACCAAGAAGTGGAAGAGGAGCCGCCAGTGGAAAAGAGGCGTCAGGGGGCGCGCGCCCCCAGGTCCGCATCAGCAAACTCTTTCTCTTGCGACGGAATAACGGGACAACAGTATTACTGTTTACAACAATCTCATCAACGCCACACCAACTACGCCTAGCAAACAAGTTATGCAAGACAAGGAATTCATTAATTATAAACCATATATCGCATCGGACGGATAAAATCAGTAATGACACTTATTATTATTATTATTATTAAGGTGTCATGTGGGCGTCATAAAGGAGCGAAATCGGCAACGAGGACAATAGTTGTAGGTACAGCTTTGAGGTGTGTTGCAGGGTTATCTATGGTTGTAGAAAAATTACGTATTAGTATTTCATGAAATACTGTCTTCCTGTGTATTTGACTTCAAATTTCAATATTACAAAGAAAACAAGATCGACTTTAATATGAAGAAGTACGCTATCCGGCCATAACTGACCACCGCATTTCGAGGTATCTTAAAAATAAATTTGCAAAACTTTAGGTTAGCTTTTGCAGGCTTGTAGAGATACTCCAAATCGACGGTCTATGGCAAATTACTTGTACATCTACACGCGATGACGACTGTTGTGAATTAGAACGAGGAAGAGATATCGCTAAATTTTGCTTTCAAGGTTCGTACTAGAAATGATAATACCAGAATTATCCAGCACATTACTGTTTTTGATTACTACGCCCTTTCTAGGTTAGTAGCGAAGCCAACGAGAATAAAGAACAAACCATGACCGTTTATATATATATATAAAGGCTTTTCTATTCACGTAAGGTTCTGTCACCCTCCCACTATCATATATATTAGATAGCTGAAACTGTTTCAGTTAAAAAAATTCGGGAAGGCAGGGGGGGGGGTCTTGCATAAATACGTTATAGTAAAGTGGTTCACTCGACGAGAAATGATGCGATTTAGCAACCGATGTTTGACAACTTATGTCATTGTGTCATTTGTTCATTCTTTCTTGTCGTTCTTTTCATCTGTTGCCTCTTCTTAGTTGAAACCGATGCTACCGTTTAATGCATGCCCTTCATAATGAACCTGTTTCGCACGAAGCCCAAAAACAACTTGTTTACTATTTCAATTGAAGCACCTGCGTAGATCACGTAATAATCTATTTTTAGCTGGGGTTTAATAGCTTTGGTGCTAGCAACTATGATACAAGTCTACCATTGACGTGCTAATAGCCGGTGGTATCTATACATTTACAACTATTTTCGATCGAGGATTCATTTTTATACTTTGCTTATCAATTGTTGTCACCAATGGCTTTTTTGTTGCTGTGATAGTCGCTTTAAGTGACCGTCTGTTGCCAATGAGTGTTCCGTGAGATTCTTGCGGTTAACCGCGTGACGGTGCTAACTAACGTGAACATTACGTGACCATTTACCTTTGCTATGAGATGGCTGATAGTAGCACTACTCAGAAATCACATACCTATATCGATAAATGGTGTCAGACCCAGCACTTAGGTAATAATAATAATAATACACTCTTTTCAAGGTACACTCAACCCGTTTGAATAAAGCCCGTAAAAAGAAGACAGTGTTGGGCAAAATGGATTGATGGATAGTTTACATTTATATAGAAAAATTTTGTAAGCAATAACAAAAAATCAAGCTTTACAGCTCAGGTGGTCCCTACACCAACGGTGAATCTGTTTTTGCTTTCCTGGTCCTCCTTGCATACGCACCGGAGGCGCTTCAGTGTGTGAACTGAAAGGGATATGTTTTTTGTATTTGGTCTGTCCTCCGCCTGGAGCACTTCACAGCTTCTTAGGAGGCTTTAAGCTTCCTTAAGTAAAACCATTTGCGAAGCCGTGAAGCGCGCGCCTGGCCTCGTAGCCAGTGAGGCTGCATCTCTTTCAACGTTGTTGATATACCGCAGCATTTCCCTTTATAGGAAATATTTCTCTCTTGCAACTTGGACCTTTTAACAATCCGATGCTTTAGCTCTAGGCAGTCGTTCTCGGGGGTCATGTTACGCTGTGTAAGGTACTTTCTTGTAAGGAAAATTTTCTAAAACACCCTACATGAGTATCTCCAGATTCGAACACGCAAACTATGACGACGAGGCTCGTTGCCACCGCAGATATTACCGGGGCAAATTTAAAGAGATGCGCACAGTTAAATGTCATAGAATCTTCAGTACGTTACCGCTGGTTCTTTTGCACAGCTTTTTAAGAATTTTATTCCTCAACTGTATCATATTGAAGCTCTGCCGAGAACTCATGTCGTTTACTTGAGTTTTGGATACCGGCATTTAGATTAATCTTGTTACTTAGTGCATTTATTAGCTGTCGAAATATAATTCCTGGTAAGGGTATTTGATTTAAAGAACTCTTGGATATATCACGTGCTGTGTTCCACTGCGTGTATCATAATGGAGAGGAGCAACGCGAACTTGTAAAAGAAGTAGGGCAATATGTAAGGGTTATAAAAGATCTGATATGATTTTATTAAGGTTCTTCAAGGTGCACGTACAAGAAGACATTATCGCCTTTTATTATCGACATTATTGCGGCTTTTTTTTACGGGTTACCGACTATACTCTTCCTACTTGGCTGATTTCCACAGTCTGCTAATGTTTTTTTAACGACGTCTTCGTTGCGCGTATTCCTTTTAGGACTCTCCGACAAGATCGGGTTGCTATTAGACTATCAGTACATGCGCATTACAGAGGTGCTAAACTGTGGGAAGCTTTCAGTGGCTCTTCGTCGTACTCTCTAAATGGTCCTTGCGGATTTCAGTAAATTCGTTTGTTTCGCTTAAAAAATGTTCGCTCATATTTGAGTGCTATTTCAAAGAAATTGTCTTTTGCCAATAATAAGATGTGATTATGTTTCTTAATTGAAAAAACTTAGGAGCGTATCATTCAAGCATGAGAGCCATGTGGCTGGCTTGACGTATCGATGACAAGTACTGTTGAATATAACCATTTGACACGAGTTCATTGCCTAAATACACCCACAAAAATATCAATATTAAAAGTCTTTAACCTTTTGTTCCTTAACATGTATTTTAAGACTCTGAGAAAGAGCAGTGTAGATACGTTTTCGTCAAGAAGCAGATCACGTCGTGCCCTGCCAAGAAACATATGGTAGGTGGAATAGGTACGGCCTAGGTGGAAAAGCTTAGGCACGCCAATTGCAATGTTCATGCTCGGAACATACCTGGATACACTGACACAGGACAAAGCATCGCTTGGACACGTTTCGTTCCAAAGCTATGGCGTTTCATTTATCGACAGCTCCTCGGTGGTTAAAATGTGCGTTGACAAAAACTCTGCCTATCCTTTCCAACAAGATTCATGACCGTAGCCTAGATATTTATTGCCATATTTTTTGCGGCTATTTTTTTTTTCAAAGCACTTTTAATGGCATTACGGAGTTCAAGGGTCAAGTTAGTATATCAAGATATAACACGAATGATAGTTATATCATATCTCTCTGCATAAAACCTGTTCACCAACTTGAGTGGTTTTATGTAATTGTGCGGTAACGCGTGTCAACGAAAAGGCAAACGCATTGCTGTAGATGCGACCATCATCAAAAACGAAGTATAAACACTTCTTGTTTTGAAAAATTGAAGTTTAAGTTCACGCTTTCGCGTTGACAATACACACGTAACAATTGTTTTATTATCCGCATAAAAATATTGTGTTTATTGACAATTTATTCGCACGTTTCACGCCCGGGCTATGGATGAGGAGATTTCGTATTTTTCGAACACTGAAATAGCATTTTTCCTTTTGTCTAGCCTTTTTAATGATAAAGTATAAATCAACTGATCACTGTTACTGAAATAACATTATATTGCTATTTTCGGATTTTCAGTTACCGCGATTAAGGCCAGAAGTGTCAATAAAGCAATGTTTAAAGAAAGAATCTACTGGCACCTACGAACGGACTTATGGTCATAATAGATTTTCAATAGTCAGAGAGATAAACTGTGTTTTGTTGTATAGTTTAGATTATATGAATCTTCGTGAAGATTTACGAAGCCGCAGTTATTACTTTGTCTGCGTCTTCACGAAGACACTCCTTGGCCGATTAGCAGTGTGCAGCAAAGAAATCAAGGGTGCGGACTGTCTTGTTGGTCGTTATGATGAATGATTTTGTCGGGTTTTGAAAAGCTTTATTTGAATACCAATTTATATGTATAACTACAGATTAGCTATTGTGAAGCATGCGATGATCCTACCTACATCGATTCGACCGACGTAGCTCCTATGAAGAGGATCCGTATAGAAACGAACGACTACCGAGCAGCGTGAACTTGTGTCGCCAACTATTAAAAACGCACCCAGCGACAAAAAGGGCGTGCATAACATAAATCAAAAACACGGAAAAAGACATAGTAAAGGCTAGTCATTTCGAAACGGGAAACTCCCTATATGAATGGCATAAGAGGAGTCGCTTCCATCACATTGTTGCAAATTACGATAGAACCTACAGCGGAACGGTAGGGAAAATAAATCTCAGGAAAAGCGGCAGAGATACCAAGAATAGGATTATAGTCGTCATCTTGAAAGGACTCAACAATTGACATGCCCATATATCAACATACCGGCAAAATTATGATCGATTTCATAGTGTTAATACTTTATACTGTTGCTAATTATATATGTAAAAGCATATAACCGTAATGGAGGTGTCTGTAAGGAGTCTGTAAAACGAATTTCCAGCATCAATGATTATAATAACTGATCATCTAGTCTACGCCTCGCCTGCCATAGTACTATTGGGAGTATTGTGAAGGCTGCATGGCAACACACCTCTCGGCCTGAGGAGCTAGAGTAGTTTTAGGAGAACCCAGGATCGGAAGTTACGGGCCACTTAGGATCAAAAATCGGCCAAGCATCAGTGTAGTTCGGTTCGCACTACATGCATACGCTCGTGGCATTAGACTGTGGATTCAGCTATAGAAATTTAGGTGAGTATGCTTCGTATAGTATTTTCTAACTAGTCGGGGCTAACATCATCAACGCTTCCATAGCCTAGCAGCCAACATCTCTGGCACCTAACAAACTAAGTCATTATATCGAAATATTCTAGGACACGAGTATCGGTAAACAGCTTTTGCTCGTTCATGTATTATATCTTCTTTCGAAAACTTACAGAAAAATTATTGAAAATGATTCTATATGCGCCAAGCACGCTGACGTACTTAAATAAAGTAGGTCATATCAAACAGTAGAGCCGTAATATATTTGCCATGATGGTCCAGTAATTCCAAGAACAAAGTAACGAAGCGGCAGCATTTACCGTTCCAACGTGAGGTGTCCGTGTTATGACGGTGTTGATGTTCGCGCATCTGAATGAACACCTGGAAAATAAACAAAAATAGTTGAGTATATATATATTGATCAGATAGGCACTTTATACCTTAACATACATCCTAGCCTACGAATGTTATCTGTACCTGAATGTGCCACTTGAATGTATACCACATGGTATTACCTAACTCTTATTTATTACAGATTGCTTCATTCTGAAGCTATGCTTAGCAGCGAATATCGGATGTACGACTGGACACGTTTAATTATGGGTCCAGTTCACGCTGGGCGACAAGTGCTTTCATTTAAAATCCGTCCCATCTATAACAATAATAGGTTCTACATGTTAATCTGGCCACCCTTTCCAGTTAATTGTTGACATTTTGTTTGAGAAACCTTGCCTTACCGTTTTCTCTTACTGTACCTTCACGATTGACACTAAAAACAGAACAGTTATTCCTTCATCCCTAACAATCGAACTCCACCTAAATATATCGCGGCACCCGCCATCTTACGCAGCTGCTTGTTCCATGGAACTGGCAACAACGCTGTATCATGCTATTTTGCTCTAGTCCCACTGTTGTTGGCTTGTTACAAGATGCTATCATATACAAAAAGAGAGCATTGGCTATACTTACGCATATTCCCTATATAACCGATGTCACACTCGTGGCACACATGCGTCACATTAACGCACATCCGGATAAATCGTCAGGACAAACAGTTACAGACATATATGGTCGCCTTGTGAGGAGTATAAGCGGCGTTGGTGGCTGCAGCAGCAGTTGTAGTCGAAACTATGGTGACACGGCGGGTGAGGACACCCCAAGCAAGTTCGGGCTGTAGCCGCCGATGCAGGGGAAAAGAACAGTGGCTTGAAGCGGCAAGCGAAGTAATTTTTTTTTGCTAATCATTTTAAGGCGGGTAGTGCTGGAAGCCAAATATTTCGAGCCTTGGTAACCTCTCTTCACCCCCAATATGGCCCCTAAACCAATGATCGAAAGGATCTGGCTTTGCTATGCCGTTGAATGTCTCCATTCATCGGCAGCAGTCACGGCAACGAGGTGACCACATTTATTACCAGCATCGTCAACGCTGACATCATTACGTGTGTTGTTGTTGCTCTTGTTGGAGTGACTGTGCAGTTCTAGAACGGTTTGCCGCGTATTCCCATGGCTGTTACAGTCCGCTTTTTTCATCAGCGTCCCCCTATGTGGTCCGCTTGTCTCGATGGCTGGTGAAACATTATGCGGAACATAGAAACTTATCATCAGTAACATTTCGAGCGCTATATACAGCGCAAGCGAACGATCGTTACTCCGAGGCCTGCTGGCGCACTTTCGACAAAGAGGAGCTCTTCTTCTATGGGGCACAGTAGCAGCATATTTTTTGTTTTTCTTTTTCATCTTTGGCTTTGTACAAAGCCAAAGATGAAAAGTCCTCTTCTGCCGCCGTCTTCGTCCGGGCCGAATAGAGAGACGTAAAAAAGGTCAAGTGCATAGGCAGAAACGACCGCAAATCGACATTCACTAAATGAAGCACGCTACCACGTAGATAAACGCAAATCGATAGAAATACCGGATGCCAATAGACGCCCAGATTGTAGATACAGAAAGGTGCCAATAGACTACATGCTTTGTTGGAGTGTAGCATAGGAGAACGTTTGATCGTTGTTTGTTACGTAGTTTGCTTTAACGAACTTAAACTCGTCGTCGGCTAACCTCGGCTACCGGCCAACGAACAATCTGCGGCGTTACTAGTGACTCCTCGCTGTTACCGTAGCTGCTCAGCCTAATAGTCAGGCGCAGAGAGCGTCATTATCGAGTTCGGCACGGGCTGCCAACAACAACAGCAGTGAAGGTAGTTGACAGCTAATAGGGGTCCGACCACCTCACTTCAAAAACTTCTTGTTCACCCCACGTTTATCTTATTGCGACTTGTTACCCATCAACTACCTGGTAATTGCGGCGATTCTAAGGATAATAGAACTTTCCCAAGATGATAATGAAACCCATATTATCAGGAAGCGCTATTATTGTCACTAGGAAGATGATGACCATTTTAGAAAACGTAAGAGTTTCCAGAAATGAAAAGTCGTCCGGGAACCGCATGAAGATGTAGGGATAGGTCACAGCTGATAGCACGAAGATCCTCTATCTACGGGTAGTTTGCGGTCTATGATAGATGATTGTGTGTGGGCATGACGCAATAGACTAAATGTGAATATGAAATATTTAAACATAGTAATAAATGTATAACAGGTGGCAATGAGGGAAGTTTCTATATGGTTACCTATTAGTGATCGTTGTGAATAGGGTTTTCTTGGAGAATAAAAGTATTTCTGCGTGAACCGGCTAACAGGTAAACCTATAGTTAGATTTATTTAGACGAAATTAAGTAAAGTCCATTGAAACACATTGGCTGACCTTGTGTGGTCGTGAACCATATCAACTGGTGGCTGTTTAAATATTAAGTTCAACATTGTTCCTTATAATTCCACCAAACACTTAGATATTAACTTGATTTGCATGTTTAAAGCCGTACCCAACTGTACAGTCTACGCAAACGACATCTTGCGCGCCATCAAACAGAAAGATACGGTTTATTTACTCACACCACTGAAACAACTCCTCCAAGGTAAATACGAGAATCGGTAAAACGATTGATACTAAAAGGCCACTGACAATGATCGACGATGACTTTCCGAATCGAGGTTGTTATTTTTAACCTGTTCCCAAGAGCATTATTCCTCGAATTATGTGGTTATTTTTAGAGGCAACCTATCAAACATCTGCGCCTTCCAGTACTATATAGGAATGAATGGCAGGTATTTTTGCTCGTCTGCTGAGTCGATCTCAGGCACTCACTTTAGCCTCTACGAGGTATTTGTTCGTGAATAGCTGGAGTATCTTCGTATGAACTTGTTACCAGGATATGTGTAAGGATTAGCGAGGATGCTGCAATATATCTACTTTGATAAGTACTGGATCACGCAACATATGTAGAAGACAGTTGCAGAAGAGCTCGATGAGCCCCATGCTCAAATTAGAGTTCCTCATATGCTGGTGCTCTTGCTTTTGTATATGCTGATCGCACCGTCTGGTTTCGACTACAGAAATTTCATAGGTTTTTTAAGCGCGTACACACACGTGTCCGACACTTGGAGCATCATTTATTTGCTCGGATATACTACATGTTATCTTCATACATGATTGAGCTCACGAATTTAGACATAAGGTCCCGACGAGAACGCAAAAGATAACCACAAAAAGAGGAAAAATGTCAGCAATGCTAACACGGCCGGACGAACGCGTTTGGTGGCGGATGTATAGCTACGAGGCTGAGCGCGCACGTTAGGAGTCCGGTCGCAGTGTCCTAAGAGTCTCTAGAGCCGCGAGACAGTTCTGGCAAAGAACCGATCGAAAGAAAACATGTTTAGGTAAAACGATCATTGGATCGTGTCAATGGAGTCTCTCTATCTAATCGCAGACTGCACAGTTTGGGTAAATAGTAAGCAACAAGGTCCTCCTATGCGACCTCACAACTTGAAGAACACGCTCAGTCGTTTCATGCATCTTCTAAACATCTGTCCAGGACACATCTGTAGTCGACCTGATCTTTATCTTGTTCTCTTTTTAAATCAGTGGACAATACGAAATTTCAAAGAACAATAAAACTATTACGCTTTAGTCTACTATTACTTTTCATCTACGTAGTATTTTAGAACAGTCAGCAATGTACGCAGAAGTTTGCTTATCTCGTCTTTTCTAGGGGTTTTTCTAATCGTCTCCTAGGAGAATGATGACAGTCCCTGCTAGTCTTCGTCGACGATAACTTCGTTTATGTTTTTGTTTATCCTCAAACAACACCGCGTCGCTGCAAGGATAATGCTAATAATGCTAACGACAGTAATGGTGATAAAATTGTCCGACTCATCACCATCCTTAGCATAATTCGGCCTTAACTCACTTCGATTTTCAGTTTCACTTGGTACTGGTTTGTTTTCAAGAAACAAACTCGTGATAGATTCGTACAAGGGCAAGGATCAAGCATCTGAATGATAACAGTGCCCCATTACCGACCAGCAGCTTTCTACTGTGCCCCTGTGGCTATCTACCAGTGCGCGTATCTGTCCATCTGTCTAAGTTAACGCCTTACACATTCGCCAAGACCCTTATGTCAACCTCTTTGTAGTTGCTTTAACTGCTACCACTACAATGGAGCCGATCGCAAAGTTTGCCCAATTGCTCCCGCCGTTCGCTGTCACGCTGATACTCTGACTCACCGCGATGTTGCAATAACTACTGCTATTGTGACAGCGGCACTATGTCGAAACGGATAGAACGAGTCGGATGTTGAAAGACAGTGGCCAGCTTCCGTTTTGTCTTGCCGAAGACTACCCCGGAAAGTGCTGCGAACGATTAGCGATGGCAGTCATGGATCGTCATTGAGAATTTGTTAATCGGCTTAAATCAGCCTGACAGGATTCCATTGCAAACTGAGTGTTGATTCCAGATTTCTATAAATAGTCCTGGTCTGTGTCACCTGTGTACGGCCATAGATGAACCATTTATTAGGCTAAGCTTCATTATGAGCTATGATAGTGAATTGTTGTTAAGGCTTTTGTGGTGTCGAAAAACAAAATAGGTGAACGCTTTTTTGGAAGGCTTCGTAAAGTTTAATTTTTACACCAAAATGTCAACGTGCTAGATAACGGTCCTACGAGAGCGACGCTTGTACGCCTCGAAACAGAAGAGTATCGGACAACAGGTTTTTTATGCCCTATCAGCTTGCGCGGAAATGCCACATGCGGCGGAAACAAGCATTATAATATAAGCTTTGAAGCTTCCTTTAGAAGCAGCCCGTCAAGGGCTCTCCCTCCTTGTAGTGCCTCTAAGGGTGCCAAATATCATCTGTTTTCATATGGAAATCAGAAGATTGGCACGAGCGTGATTAATAACGAGTATAAAAAAACAAAAATGGAAAAACAGAATGATGAGTAATCATACGCGTCTTTGTCGTTTTGCCATAATTTTTTATAAATAAAGTT